TCGTCACACTGAAGACCCGGGTTCGATTCCCCACATGGGTACAATGTGTGAAGTCCATTTCTGGTGACCCCCGCCGTAATATTGCTAAAAGCGGCGAAAAACTAAACTCACTCACTCACAAAATAGGTCAGATCTCTATCACTTTGGAGTTGCCTCCCCTGCTGTTTCCTGTGGTTCTGTAAAAGTGCTAGTAAACCCAACTCACAACCTTATTTGGTCAGTTCCTGGTCACCATGCATGCCAACATGCCGACAGTTGAACAGTTCAGCTGCGAACAGGAAGCAGTTAACTTCCGTATGTTCAAATTATTCTGATCCTACTTTTAAAAAGGTCACCAAGGTCAATTAAACGCTCCATCAATTCGGTGTGTACTATTTTCATTTCATATTAACTTTTGTTTGACTTCAGTGACATTGCATTACTTGACTTAGAACAGACATCACCATTACAACACATGGTAGCCGGTGTGTTGAATTACCTATGATTATTGATTTATTAATAACAATGTTCAAATTACATTTCACCCAAGTGATTTCAGGTTGCCTCTTTCATTAACCTTTCTTTCTGACCACAACTTGCCAAAACATATTGTTCTGCTAGAATTCAACTTCCAAGCCCAATTGACAAAAGCCTTCTCATGCACATAGAGTGGCATTCAGAAATGTTCTTTGCATCCACACACACATTAAAAAAGTACATTTTAAACAGGAAGACATTTCAATGAATGTTGCTTTGAATTTGATTTATTTTTTATGAGTCTGTACCTGTACACAATTAGGCCAGATTGTGCTGTTTCCATCTATATGTTTAAGTTTTCTTGCACTCTGATATGCTATTAATATTTCAAGGTGTTAATAACTTAAAACATTGATTCTGTAATCACTGAGTAAAAGTAAAATTTCCCTATATTTTGATTTTGACAATAAAAGAACATAACAAAGCATACATAACTTCCAGTTTACTGCACAGGGCTTTTTCGATGTATACTATTAATCTGTTATTACATTTACAAACCAAATTCTATAATGCCAATCAAACTAAATTATAGTTGGTCACCTTCTGCAATGGTCACTCCATATGGAGTATTTGCTTACACGTCCACTAATTGGGTGTGATAAGACGGTTTTAACACTGCTAGGAAGTGTTTATCGGTTATATAACAGTATGTGTACCATAGGCCTGAGGCCTTTTCAGTACCGGAATAAAAGATTGAATATAACAGTACACCAGGTTGATGTGTGGGAAACCCAGTATCATGGATGTCGTGCTGACAAATATTGAAGAGTTATCCTACACTAGAACCCACAATCACTGAATAGAAACCTGCCGAGTGAAAGGATACACCTTATGTCGACATGGGGAATGCCACATTGACTGGCCCCCTTGGTAAGGTAGAAAGGTATCACTGAGACAAGATGGTATGTATTCAACCAAGTCAAGTCTGAACATCTAGTCACCTCATAACCCAGGAAGATAGGGTCAGAGGTGAGGTGAGGTGAAATTGGATTAACGTCGTGCTTGAGAATATTTCGCTCATATGACAACGTGCATGCTGGTTAAGCTTAAGCTGGTTTTGTAGTGCTAGCCCACTGAGATACCATGCCGCAGTGAAGCATGAATACCCCTCTCAGACACATTATACTGACTCCGAGCCGACCAGTCCTTATTGTACCCATTAATGCCGAGCGCCAGACAGGGGCAAACAAGTACCATATTTTAACGTCTTTTGGTATGACGCGGTCGGGGATCGAACCCGCGACCTTCCGCTCTCCGGAGATAGGGTCAGAACTGGTCTTCAGTAACCCATGCTTGTGACGGGATTGGGTGGTCAGGCTCACTGACTCAGATGATGTCTGCCACATATCCACATTGCCAAGATCGGTGCTCATGAGTTTAATCACTAGACTGTCTGGTCCAAACTTGATTGTTTACAGTCTGCCATCATGGCTGGAATAGTTCCGAGTGTGACATTAAACAACAGTGACTTCCAACAACTAGCACCGGTTGCTGGGGTGTCTTGAAATTCTTATTCCAGTTGCACCATACAAAGATTCAACTGTATCTTGTCAAAGATGCAAGTTGCAGTCCAATACAGTCCTAATATCAGAGTGAGTGAGTGAGTTTAGTTTTACAACACACACAGCAATATTCCAGCTATATGGGGGCAGTCTGTAATAATCGAGTCTGGACCAGACAATCCAGTGAGGAACAGCATGAACATCAATCTACTGATTGGAAACTGATGACATATGTCAACCAAGTCGGCGAGCCTGACCACCCGATCTTGTTAGTCGCTTCTTACGGCAAGCAGGGTGGTGGGGTAGCCTAGTGGTTAAAGCGTTGACTCGTCACGCCGATGACCCAGGTTCGAATCCCCACATGGGTAAAATGTGTGAAGCCCAATTCTGGTGTCCCCCGCCGTGATGTTGCTGGAATATTGCTAAAAGCGGCGTAAAACCAAACTCAGTCAGTCAGTCAGTCTTACGGCAAGCATGGGAAACTGAAGATCAACTCTAACCCGGATCTTCACAGGTTCATAAGATCAAAGACTACAATACACCAGACTATAGTGATATGACATTTTATACATTTTGTACAAGTTTTTACAGATGGTTAAGCTGCACTACATGAATCTCCATGTTGTCTGGAATGAACACTCAGGTGATAGACAAAGGTGAGAGAAAACAGATCCACTAGTACTAACAATAGGACAGAAGACAGGACATTGACTAGACTTCACTAGTTCACTATTACATTCACAACCAAATTTGATTATCATATATATCTTTTCATACAACATCCTGCCTTGCAATATCTGAACTATTCTTTGACTTCAGTTTTGAAACACAATTAGAACTATTTCATTACATTTTCTTATCTAAACAAGTAAGTTGACATTCTTAATATTAAAAATAGAACTACATATTATATATTGCAACAAAATCAAAAATAAAAATTTATCTGATAATGGTCATATAATATTCCTCTTTTGAACATCACAATTGAACATGACAAACATTGTGTTAGTATTGCACAGAGATGAGTAACCTACCAGCTATATATTCATGTTCTCAGTACAGAATTGTATTCATGATTGAAAATTGATTTGTTGAAGCAGGTGCCTGTAGCCGAGGTGTACGGTTTATATGCGGAATGTACATTATATATACAAGGAAATGTGTCAATCTAAAACACACTAAAACATACCTGTACAACATTTAAATATCCTCCGTTACATAAATGCCCTTATATCATGTTTTGCCAAAACATAACAAAATGTCATAATTTATACAGCATAAAACATTTTAAAAGGTTTATTGTAAAATATGTTAATAAAATAAAGCACTATACTTTCAGAGACATTTCAACAATTGCATGAAATATTTTTACAATTATATGCCAGTCTGAAGGAAGTTTCTCGTGCCCAACGGTTTTCTTGTCACCTGAAACAATAAAGGCAAAAATCGGTAAAATGTCATGAAAAGGATCACACATATATATTTCTACAAAAGTTAAGACATAAGAATTCTGTTTTATAATTCAGTAGGTATCACCAGATTAAAACTGTCTAACTAGACTTCTGGAATACTGTTTAAAATGAAGTCCTGATTTTCAGTACATTCAGATATACAAAAAAGCTACCTAACAAGAAATGTGGTTTCAGCGTGCCTGATGTTTGGATACAAGGACCAAGTTCCTGTTGTTTGGTTTACTTCATGGACAGCTATATTCCATCATTGTCATGGGTGACAGCAAACATTTCAACCTTGGCTTGGCACCATATTTGTTGATTTCAAAATGTCCCATTTTAAGGGTACTCAGTTGATCACAGGGTCTTGCCACCTATCACCATTAGAGTTAGCTCTTTTGGGAATCATTAGGTACTGGGGACCTAGCTCCTACTGAGTATTTAACATGTTACAGTGGAATGGACGAAGTTGGATGACAAGTGTTGTAAAAAAGAAGTGAAACATCATTCTCTTCCCACAGAGGTTACTCCTGTCATATCTTCCTACATAACCTCTGTTCTAATACGACCCTTTCTTGGTGTCAGCGTTCAAGGCTCGTGATTGGAGACAAGCCGATTTAGTTGTGCAATCAGCGACGTTGTTTCAAAAGTGATCATTCGCAAGGCCTCGGTAATTTCCGTATGCTTCGGGAAAACTAGAACCTCTTCCCGAGCGCGATGCGCAAACGTTTCTTCTAGACAGAACTCAGTCATGTAATGGCGTATCAATGGCGTCTCCATCGCCCTCGTTGACAATGGACAAGCTAGCCATTAAACGTCTTGTGTGTAACATCAACACAATTCCCCGGCAGATGGGGGATATTTGTGGCCCCCGCATTTGCTTGTGTTAGTCAAATTGAATCTAAGTCGATGTAACACGTGTTCTGATTGGATAGAAAGAAGGGAGATAATTCGTGTTGCGATCTTTTGCCGCTAGGGGATTTTACGAGGACCGGGAAATATGGCCGTATTAGAACAGAGGTTATGTAGGAAGATATGACAGGAGTAACCTCTGTGGGAAGAGAATGATGAAACATGTAAACAGTGCAATCTTTCACCAACTGTGATGAGTTAGGAGTGCGTATTTCTCTTGAACACATGCATGACTGGATACACACTGTGCCACACGTTATAAGAGGATGCAACGAGGTTTACAGCAATATGATGCCCACCCACACTGCCATGAACCATCCAACAGAAGGTCACTGACATACCCCCAAAACTGCTAAATCAAACCCTGCCCTGCCCTGCCCTGCCCAACAAAAGGTCACAGTGATGCCCCTAAACTGCTCTTACAGCACTTCCCTCCGGAACCAAGTAAACTGTACCTCACCCATACAGATCAGTCCACAACCTACAAAACTGCCCTGCCCCAAAACACCCACCCCAACCCCAGAGATCACTGCCAGATCCCTCCCTAAACTGCCAACACCATCAAACACTGTGCACATGCCAGACAACCACAAACAATTAAAAGAATACAAGAAATACTACCGATGGTTTTTGTGTCGCCTAGGCTACAAGCACAGAATTGAGAAATGAGATGAGAACCCCCTAGTAGGTTCAGTCTAGGCATCACACACATCCAATAAACAGACATCATGGAGGACATGTGGTGAGCTCAACACCTGTCCCAAATTAAAGTAAGTATCTTATCTTCATCTGACAAAATAATAATCATGAAAATAATGACTTATGGGATCTGGATTATGAATTTTGTTATATTTCAATATATATATATATATGTTGACCATATAAATGAAGCTGACAGACATGTCTTCCAACAAACAGCAAATATAGCACTATATCATTATTAACACATGCCAACATAACCAAAACACTATAAAACAAAATCTTTTTTTTCCCACAAACTTTTTTTTCCTTTTCTGTTTTATTTCATCATGTTACAAAGACAATAACTATTCACAAAACTGGTGAAACTGGGTATAAACATGTCCTCTAACATAAGGACCAAGTCTCCCTCTAAAGAAGCAGATGTGTGTGGAATTGCCATTCCTGGGACCAGATTGACAAATCATTGGTAGCACTACGTGATTCACAAGCCAGAGTTATGATGGATTGAAACGCTAGGAATGTTTTGTGGATGGTGACTGTTTAAGATACTGAAACAAAATGATACGATGGTATTCAGTAAGCATTATCGTTTCTGACTTTGTTGTGAGGGAACAGTTTCCTCGGCGTCTTCAGTTTGACCATGAACATGGAGACCTTCTTGATGGGTGTTTTAATGAGGGTTTTCCGGTGACCCTCGAACATGTGGATCAGCTTACTCACCTGGCTCTTCTTCTCCTCTGGCTGCTTCTGAATGAAGCCCGTCTGGCGCTTCATGCCGCGACTCATCCCCTGGTTGTGTACAGGGGAGAAGCCGATGCTAAAGGATACTCTCTCGTCGGTCAGACTGCAAACAAAAGGATCATCTTTTCAGCAAACAAAACACATCATTTGGGGTTCAGTCAGAATTCCAGCACATTATTATTGTACTATTGAACATTTTCTAAGAACCACACCTTTGACTAAAGATAGCTATTTGACAGTAGTCTGTAAATGATACACAAAGAGGCTATTAATGACATCCATCATTTGACAGGATTGTTTCGTAGTTTAACAGTCGATGACTACATGAACAACATGATGATGTCATTAAGACTTGGAAGTGTGTCGAGGCCACTCAAAGTTGTGGTCCTTTGCAATGTTGACATAGTCAAAATATCTCTACTTTGACAAACAATATGACTTCATCCTTCAAAGATCTTAGGGCCCACAAATGAAATCTCAGTACTATGAGGAAAAGTTTCTGGTGTGACACATAATTACAATTTGACATAGCAAACTTGTCTGAAGAATTTACATGAAATGATATTAATTAATATTAATTTTATGTTTGACGTAAAAATATAGTTATATTCTGCCGAAATGTTTAGAGAGTATCATTGTGAATATCTTTTATCCATAACCCTGCAACTCTTTGTCTGCCTACCAGTTTAGCCGGAGCTTTATTTTCACTATCCCACCGAGGTGAGTGTGCAGTTCGTGGTGACACTCCCTTTGGAGTGCGTCTGAGAGTGCCTCGTGGTGTACGAGAGTTAGACCTCGACTTCCTCCGGGTGCTGACCGGTGTCTTTGGACTCTGGTTGAGACGTCCGGAGCTCCGCCGTGTCATGGAGTGACCATTGGCCGGTGTTGGTGGACCAGGACGCTGATACACAGTGCCATACCGAGCCTGGAACCAGACCCACACATTTACCTACTCACACAATTACCTGAGGGCACTGGTCAGTGATACAAACATTACCCAACTAGGGCTTGCTTATGATTATAAATCCTATTTAGCTGAGTTGGAGTGAATGAGAGGGTAGGATTTTACATTGTTCTAGCAATACTCCAGCCATATCAAAGCATGGAGATACCAGAAATGGTGTCCACACATTTTAACCATATGTGGAATCAACCGGATCCTCGGCGAGACAATCCAAAGCCGTACCCACTAGGCTACCCCCCACACAGTAAGAGGAGCAAATGATAAGGAAAACAGGTTAATACCTGGTACCATGTCAACTTTAACTGCAGTGTTATCACAGCTGAATGTAAACACTTAAAACGTATTTTCGTCTTGGGACTTCAAGCCAGAAAGGTGTCTCCTGGATCTCCAGTTCCAAGAACTATTACACACATCAACATCAGAAGCTACAACAAAGGAAGCTAATCTGTAACTGTGTAATCAAGAAGCTGCAGGTGACTCACATGTTTTCTGTGGTCTTCAGGTAAGGTTTTTGATGGACCGTCATCTACGTCCATTGTGTTGGGCTTCCTCTTCTTTGAGAGAAAGGAAGCATCGGACACACGCTTGAAGCCATCATCTTCAAACTTCTTGTTTTCACATGACTGGGTCTCGACCGGGTAGGACGACTTCATGTGAGGTAAACACAGTGTATTCCGTCTCTTCAGCTCACTCAGGCGGTTCCACTCAAAGTCCAGCGGAGGTTCGTCCTCACACGAGAACAACTTTCCAGTCCCCACTTAAAGTTTACAGAATACCTCTTTATCAAGACATTTTGTATACTATCAAATTATGTAAGTTAATGCAAACATATTCAGTGGTTGTTAACTTCGAGTAGAAGACAGGAAGAGAAGTGTTATGATCTTTATCCATTTGTATCAAAGCCAAAGTCATAGTACTGTTTTGAGATACAGATTGCAAAGCAGGCATGGCAAAACAGAGTTCGTTCTGGAGCAGAGCTGTTAATATATACTACCCATCAAAAGTTTAGACTCACTGAAAGCACTCACTATATGTTATGTATATGTATGTGGTTACATCGAAGATGAATTTCTCCACCAACTTGGGGAAACCAACTGAAAACCTTATGCAGATGAATTGCACAAGGATGATGCTTCAAATTGCGAAAGGCATGAGCAAATGTCGTGCATGTGAACAGATGCGTTTTGGTGTAAAGTTTTGTTAAGAATTCGCCAATTTTCACAGATTTTAATCATTTACTGAACTCATGACAATAATCTTTTCAATGTTACGAATATGTTTTACAATACACCAGTTCATAACTAAACAGTACCTTTAAACAGTATGGAATATTTTGCAAAAAGCTAGTTTAGAACAGTGGACAAGTAAGTGGCTACATTTACACTAGTGAGTCTAAACTTTTGATGGGTAGTATATATAAATCAATCTCATGACAAAAAAGTACCCAGGTGAAGGTCCACAATGTACTTACAGGGCAGTCCAAACGCTGTGCCAGTGGAGTTGAGTCTGTCGCTGGAGATGCTGCGGAGGGATGCTCGGCTGTTGCTGGAGCGGAGAGACAGGGAGGAGCAGCTCGGAGTGAGGCCAGATGAGGAGTTTGAGGAGCTACGAGGCTAGAGGAGAGGAACATGCCAAGTCAGTATGGGACAAACTGCGCAGCATGCATGAATAGAAAATCATTTACCATTGGCAGTGTGCAGGTAGTCAGTATTGAAACGACATTAACTTGACATGATTGATACATTCAGCATGTACCTGGTCTTTATCTAGTGGTCAATTATCAGCTCAATCTAAAACCTTTAATATCTATTCCATCATCCTGTCTTTAACTACTATAATAATCACAACAAACACAGGCTATTACAGCATGATATTAAGACGCTGATTCCAAGCTGTTGTTACCTGGATTGGGAGATGGTGACAAGGGGCTTCCTATCCAGTGAGCTATGGGAACTGGAGCGAAGGTATTACTTGAGCCCAGCGAGTCATCCAGGATTACAAATTCAGCACTACTCCATCAGTTGTTACCATCAGCAACTGAGAGATGGTGACAACTCCATCAGGGGCTTGACCCCCTCCTCCATCAGCAACATTCTATCATCAGTGACTCCTATGGCAACATTCAACACTACTCCATCAGCAACATTCAACACTACTTGATCAGCAACATTCAACACTACTCCATCAGCGAGTCATCCAGGCTCCCTCCTCAGCAACATTCAGCACTACTCCATCAGCAACATTCAATCAGCAACATTCAACACTACTCATCAGCAACACACTCCATCAGCAACATTCAACACTACTCCATCAGCAACATTCACACTCCTCCATCAGCAACACTACTCCATCAGAACATTCAAGCAGCAACATTCAACACTACTCCATTCAGCAACATTCAACACAACATTCAACAACTCAAGCAGCAACATTCAACACACTCCTCCTTCAGCAACAACATTCAACACTCCTTCAGCAACATTACTCCATCAGCAACATTGAACACTACTCCATCAGCAACATTGCATACTCCTCCATCAGCAACATTCAGAACTCCTCCATCAAACACTCAAGTATATGCTATACCATTTTGAAAAGACAATGCCAGTTTAGCAGATCAACAACTTGTCTCACCTGTATCACCACCACTGTGGCTGCCGATGTCAATGTTGAGACTGTCGTTGGCGCTGAGCTCCATGTGTCTCTGGAAGGCGTTGGTATCCCCCAGGAGAGCCGTGCCTGCCTGATCCAGCTGATGTCTATACTCTCGAACTTGGCGGTCAGCAAACTCCAGCTGGTTCTCCAGGGTACGGACTTTGGACGCTGCAAGAACCTCTTGATTAGACCACACACGAAACATTGACTAAACCCATTTTTCAGGTGGATGGGTGGTGTTTCTCTACAAACTAAATAACTTTGATGATAAAAACCAATCATGACCTAACTCATCAAGTGGCCCCCAATAGTTGATTTGCTCACTGCACAGCAATGAATTAATTTAACAACAATCAACTTCAACAAGTGTTTGCCACTAATATGGCAATGTCCCCCGCCGCTAAAGAATGGAATATTCATAACATATTTACTACTTTTTATTTTTTGCTCACATACAAGATGCCTGAAATCACATGTGTCTGCATAATCCCCCAATGTAGGCTGTCGACATAATTGAAGACATTGGGTACAACAGTTCATGAGATATCACGTTAACAACAGTTTGAAAAGTGGTCAAAGTGTCGTGGTGACCTTGAAAATAAGGTCAAGGTCACCCAAGTCGACTGGTGTCTGTGTAATCCCCCAATGTAGGCTGTCACCAAATTTGAAGACATTGGGTACAACAGTTCATGAGATATTGCGTTAACAAGAAATAGGACGGACGTGGACGGACGCCACTGAATACATAGTCCCCCATTCAGCAAGTGAAACAATATTCACAGCATGTCATAAATGCCAACGAACAACCAAGGTTAAAAACCTGTTACCCAGCCAGGACCCTGTTCCACAAAATGATCTTAGAACTAAGATGCCTAAGATGACTAAGAATACTTCAGCACAAAGGGACTTACAACAGACATAGAACTATGGATGCTTCATGGAACAGCCCTGGCCCGAGCATACTTCAATGCCCTGAGCACTCCATCACAGTGCATGACTCACCCAGTGACTTGGCCTGTGCATTCTCCTCCCTCATCTTACACATGTCTGCGTCCAGTTTCTCAGATCGCTGTCTGTGTTTCTCGGCCGTGTGTCGCTGTGTCTCCAGAGCCTTGGTCATGGTCTCCATGCTCTCCTTGTACTTGCTGTATTTGTCTTGGTACTGGCGCACCTGTTCCACCAGCCTCTGATGCTCGTCATTGGACTACAACAGACACAGAACATCATGTTACTACAACATAATGTACCTGGTTTGTGATGTCATACTTGGACAGGATCATAAGGGAAATGTGAAGAAACTACAGGAATCAATAGTAATGAACAACTTGCTCAGATACCTAATTAATGCGTCTAAAAAGTAGTTGCTTATATCAGTACTAACATCAGCAGAACCTAAACATCTTAATCTGTTTGTTCATTGTTCAGTGCCAAACCCAGCAATATTCAAGCTATAATGTGGCATTATAATATAAGCATGTCTGTACCAAACAAACATGACTGATATAAGCAGCTGTCCATTCTTTGAGTGCAATAACAGTCACCAACCCAGTATTTAACTTTTTAAATTCAAGGCAACTCACACTATGAGAAGACTTTTGCAGGTCCATGATCTGAGTCTTATACTTCTCAGCTTGTTTCTGGAGCTTGGCGTTCAGCTCGGATGCCACTGTGATCTCATGCTTGTGGTCCCGCACCATCTTCTGCTCACGTTCCATTTGATTCTGCAGCTTCTGTACCAACTCCTTGCACTTCTCCTCGATCTTTGCCTTCTGGCTGCGGTGCTTCTCATTGTCAGTCTTCAGGTTATGCTCGCGTTCGGTCAGCTCCGACAGACGATGGTCCATCTCATGACACTGACTCTCAAAGTGCTGACATCGACTGGCATATTTGCTTATTTCCTGGGCCAGGTCCGACATCTTACTTGCCGTTAGTTCCTAGAAGGAAAAATACATACAGGATATACACAGACATACAAAATAAGTTACAGATACAGTGAGTGAGTTGGGTCTTATGCCATTTTTAGCAAAGGAAGACAAACAAGTGGAATGTGGGACCATTTCTTGACGTAGTGAGAGAGTGAGTGAGATTTTACGACACTTTTAGCAATATTCCAGCAATATCATGGTGGGGGACACAAGAAATGGGCTTCACACACTGTGGCCATGTGGGGAATCGAACCTGGGTCTTCAGTGTGACGAGCAAACGCCTTAACCACTAGGCTACACCACCGCCCCTACAGATACAGACTTCATGTTATTATTCCATGTAAAGTATGGTAAGATAGTTTTTTAAGTTTTAACAAAATAATAATCAAGAGCTAAACAAATTGTTCACAACATGATTAACACTACATATTGTCAATACACCTACAACTAGGTCACACATTGACTTTCAGGTAGGTCAACTTTAATGAGTGAGGTGACTGGGACCTTGTTTAGCTGGATAAGTCACCATATCAGGTATGTTTATAGCACCAAGATCTTCACAAGTGAGCAATACCTGAATTTGTGGTTTAGATAAACAGCATGCCAAGTAGTTTAGCAAACAAAGCCAGAATATCATTATGAACCTTGCAGGACTATCCGTCACCTCTACTGATCTGAAATAATAGCATCACTCTCCCCTCATCCTCACCTTCTTCTGCTGGAGTATCTCCACCTGGGTCTGCAGGCTGTCCTTCTCCATCCTGAGAGCTCGGACATCGGCGTCAGTGTGGCGCCGGGCTGAGGACAGCTCTCGCTCATGATGCGCCATCAGTGCCTCCTTCTCCTTGTCCACCATCTCCTTCTCCTCCTCCACAGCTGCCAGCTGCAACAGCAACCGCAGAATTGGTCAGACACATTATACTGCTTGAACCTGAAAATGCTTTGAGAAAATATATATTCTTAGCTATTCAGGTTTTTGTTTAATTAGGTTCCACATACCTGCTGCTTGAGGCTCATCATCTCTGCTTCATAGCGGGAAACAGTTTCCGATGTGCTCTGTTTGAGAGAATCCTGCAACATCAAGCAAACCAATGATCTTAGAGTCAGTTTGACGTTGAATAGCGCAATCGATTTTTCTTGTCACAGATATATCAAAACCATAACAATCAGTAATTCATTTGAAAGGGAATTCATATACAGATTTAAGAATGCAATCACAGCCCTCACCTTTTTAGTTAGCGAGTCTAGTCTTAAGCCACTTTTAGCAATATTCCAGCAATATCACAGTGGCCTCTTAGTTAGCCATGGATAGATGATGTCAGATGATGTTGAATCGTATCTATGGCCAAACCATATGATGTCAGAGTGTCAGCCTGATGTTGAACTACGGTCATTCATTTGAAAGTAAATTACCAGATTAAGAAAACCATCATTGACCTTACCCTTGTAGTGGAATAATCTGTCTTCAGACTGTGGATCTCGTACTTGAGACAGTTCATCTGTTCTTCATACACTGCCCTCTCCGACTCTAGCTGACAGGCAAACTCAGACTCAGCTGATTCCAGTTCCTGCTTGAGCTGCATGGCCTTCTGCACAGCTGACATACACGCTCCTCCTGCACCTGTTGCAGCTGCACACTCATTTCCATGACCTGGGCCTTCAGATCAGTCACTTCACCTCCTGACCCGACTGCTCAGTCTGCTGTTCCTGCTGCAGCAGCTGCTGTCTGACTTCGGCAACATTCTGTTCGTGCTGTTGCTGCTGCTGTGCAAGCTTGTCCTCATACTCCTGCTGCCTGGTCTCCTGCAAGCTCTCCAGCTCTGCAACCTTTCCCTCCTTCTCCTCAACCACCTGTGCCATCTTCATCTCATACTCCCTCTGCACAGCAAGGATAGCATCCTCCTTGGCAATTTGCTCCTCAACCATCTTTTCTTCCAACTCTCTGTTCCTCTCTGTTAAGCAAGTTTCTAGATGTTTTGTCTTTTCTCGGTTTTCATCCAGGTTGCTTTTCATCTCTCGCTGGCTCTGAGCCATCTCCTTCAAGCAGGTATGCAGATGTGCCAACTTACTCTTGTGATCTTCTTCCATACTGGACACAGCTTGCTCACCCTCTTCTTTCATCTTCAACAGTTTCTCCTCATAATCAGCCTTCTGTCTCTCCATCATGCCCTTCAAGTCTGAAATGGTCTCCTCAAGCACAGCCTTCTGACTGAGAAGAGACCCTTCATGCTCATCCATCAAAGAAGAAATCTTATCTTCCTGACGAGTTAGCTCTTCTTTATACTGGTTCTCAAAGCTGGTCTTTCGTTCAGCCATAGCATCATCAAACTCCTCCTGTAGGGTGGACAGTTGCATGGTCCAGTAGTTTTCACACTCCTGAACCCTACTGTTGTAGTCCTCCTCCAGAGTCTTCTGTCTCTCCTTGAGTTCCTTGATGGTGTCCTCATAGTCTGTCTGTCTCCCCCGGAATGTGGTGATGCTTTCCTTAGTGGCCATCACAGCACTAGTGGCTGTAGCAATCTGAGATTCATGGCTTCGGATCAATGAGGCTTTCTCCTCCTCAAAACTCTTTCGAAGTTTCTTCATGTTTTCACTCTGACTTGACTCAAGAACTGCAATCTTCCCCTCAAAGTTATTCTGAAGAAGTGCCAGTTCTTCCTCTTTTTCATCCTCAATACTTTCAATGACTGTTTTATGTTCCTCCTTTAATGTGTTAACCATTTCTTCATACTGACACAGCTGCTGTTGAAGTTCAGCAGTTGCAGCCTTACTGTTCTTGACATCAGCTTCACACTTCTCCACCAACACTTTCCGTTCCTCCTCACTGCTCTGAGCCAGCCTCTCCATCTCAACAACCTTCTGCTGAAGCTCCTCCACCATCTTCTCCTTCACACAGACTGTGTCCGAGAGGGACTGGATGGTATCAGTTTCAGTCTCCACCTCAGCCCTGAGAGACTGAAGCTGCTCCATCATCTCATTCTGCTGACTAACCTGCTCTCTCTTCACCTCCTCAAGATTGGCCTCCAAATCTCCGACTTTGCTTTCCAGCAAGCTTATCTCAGACACAAGGTACTGCTCCCTGGATGTAAACTGCTCCTTTTGAGAGTCCTGGTTTATGGTAGCCTCCTCAACGGTGTGTTCCAGCTGACAGATCTTCTCCTGCAGCTCCTTCTCCCGCTGCACATATCCTTCCACTTCAGACTTCAGCTCATGCTTCAGATCCTCTATCTTGTCCTTGAACTCAGCCAGATTAGAATTAAGTTTCTGTTCCTTCAGCACAAAGTCCCGGGTCTCTCCATCCTTCAGAGAAGCCACCTCCTCCAGCTGCACCTGCATCTCAGCAACTCTGACATCCATCTTCTGTTGCAGTGATGCCTGTTCCTGCTGCTTCACCTCAAGCTGCTTCTTCAGATCACCAACTGTTTTTTCCATAGATGTCTCACTTGCCTTCAGCTGCAGAAGAAGGTCTTCCTTATCCCCACTAACACAGGCAAGCTGTTGCCTCAGATCTTCCTCAGCCTGCTGAGCTTTTGTTGTGATCACATCCATATCTAGCCTCATTGCCACAAGTTCCTCATCTCTCTCCCTGAGTCGACTCTCACATTGCTGTTGTTCCTCTTGTGCTGAGCAAAGCAGCTGTTCTTTCTCCAACAGCATCTTTTGGTGCTGCTCAATGGTAACAGTAAACTGTCTAATGCTTTCAGCATGCTCTGCTAATGTTGAATCTTTTTCAGTAATAGTGTCAAATAATGTCTTTTTTTCACTCGTCATGTCATTTATTTTTTCTGAAAGGTTAGTAACAAGAGATTCTTTCTCAGCAATTGTCAGTTTGCACTGTTCCATCTCAACTCCTAACATCTGTATCTGAGACTTTGCCTCAGCCAGGACTGTCTCAGTTTCTGCTATAACACTCTGCTGTGTGTCAACATTAGAGGACAGGGTTTCAACCATACTATGGAGCTCCTCTAATTCAGACTCTTTCAAAGCAACTAGGGTTTGTTGCTGGGCAGCATCATGAGTCAGACTCTCAACCTTTTCCATCAGCTCTCTCACAGAGGCATCCTTCTCTGCCAAGGAAAGCTGTTGATGTTGGAGTTTCTCAGTCAATTCACTGACATGTGTCTCCCTTTCTGACAGTGTCGCCTGCTGTTCTTGAACCTGCTGTGACAATAGGGTTACATTAGTTTTCAAACTTATCACATCACTGTCACGCTCACTGAGACCTGCTTCATGTTGTTCAAGACAAACAGACATGTCTGACAAAGCAGCATCCTTCTGTCTTATCTCCTCTTGGTGTTTCTGCAGGAGCTCAGTCTGTGCTTGCAGAAGATCTTCCTTCTCCCTGATCACCTGCTGGTGTTTCTCAACGAGCTGAGCCTGTGCTTGCTGAAGCTCTTCCTTCTCCCTGATTGCCTGCTGCTGTTCTTCCAGGAGTTGAGCCTGTGCTTGCTGAAGCTCTTCCTTCTCCCTGATCTCCTGCTGGTGTTTCTCAAGGAGCTCAGCCTGAGCTTGCTGAAGCTCTTCCTTCTCCCGGATCTCCTGTTGGTGTTCCTCCAGGAGTTGAGCCTGTGCTTGCTGAAGATCTTCCTTCTCCCTGATTGCCTGCTGCTGTTCTTCCAGGAGTTGAGCCTGTGCTTGCTGAAGCTCTTCCTTCTCCCTGATCTCCTGCTGGTGTTTCTCAAGGAGCTCAGCCTGAGCTTGCTGAAGCTCTTCCTTCTCCCTGATTGCCTGCTGCTGTTCCTCCAGGAGTTGAGCCTGTGCTTGCTGAAGATCTTCCTTCTCTTTGATCACCTGCTGGTGTTTCTCAAGGAGCTCAGCCTGAGCTTGCTGAAGCTCTTCCTTCTCCCTGATTGCCTGCTGCTGTTCCTCCAGGAGTTGAGCCTGTGCTTGCTGAAGATCTTCCTTCTCCCTGATTGCCTGCTGCTGTTCTTCCAGGAGTTGAGCCTGTGCTTGCTGAAGCTCTTCCTTCTCCCTGATCTCCTGCTGGTGTTTCTCAAGGAGTTGAGTCTGTGCTTGCTGAAGCTCTTCCTTCTCTTTTATCTCCTGCTGGTGTTTCTCAAGGAGTTGAGTGTGTGCTTGCTGAAGATCTTCCTTCTCCCTGATTGCCTGCTGCTGTTCTTCCAGGAGTTGAGCCTGTGTTTGCTGAAGCTCTTCCTTCTCCCGGATCTCCTGCTGGTGTTTCTCAAGGAGTTGAGCCTGTGCTTGCTGAAGCTCTTCCTTCTCCCTGATCTTCTGCTGGTGTTCTTTGAGGAGCTGAGCCTTTGTCTGCTGCAGTTCTTCATTTTCCTGCAAAACCTGCGTCAGAGAGGATGTCTTACTTTGCAACTCTGTTTCCAGGATTTCTTGCTTCTGTTCACTTGAGGTTCTGACTTCAGTCAATTTCTGCATCAAACTTTCCACCTCCGTCGACTTTTCAGCAATTTCACTTTCAAGTTCCTGTGTGACTTTTACCTTTTCTGTTTGGAGCTCAGCCAGATTTTGACTCAAGATTGAGGCTTCATTCTGTTTCTCAATGACCACCTGCTCATGTTTCAGGGTTATTTGCTTAATTTCAGATCCCATGTCTGCAAGCTGAGTGGTCAGGTCCTCCACCTTTTGATCCCGATCTGATAGGGTCATCTCATACTTGTGGGCAGTGTCCTCAGCTTCAGTCTCAAGATTTCGGATACGTTCATTAAGTTTGACTTCTCCACTTCTCTGCTTACTGAGATTCTCTTGAAGACTGGTACACTCTTCCTTCATAGCACATATTTCCTGCAAGATATGACAAACATATCACAAAAATACCAAATGCGCAAAAATGTTTAACCATAACCATTCACAACTGATTACATAACATATACTTTGTCAAAATTTATCTAAATCATGATTGAACAGGCGAAAACACAAATTACAATCTGATTGAAGTATTTCTTTCAAAATTTGATCTGATATCACATACAAAAAATGACACAGGTGAACTGATTTACCGTATTAGCCAGATTGAGGTCTGTCCTGGACTTGTTGAGGTCTGTTTCAAGAGCCGTGATGTTCTCCAGGTTGGAGTCTGTCAGTGTGGTGAGTTTCTGCACCTCCAGCTGGGACTGGGCCAGGACCTGAGCCTGGCTGCGGAACTGGGCCTGCAGCTCACGCCGAGACTCTGTCAGCTGTGTCACTTCACTCTCATACTTCTCCAGCTGAAACTTGAGCTCTGCTATCTGGTCCTCAGTTTCCAGGAGGCTCTTCCTTGCAGCCAGGTAGTTTTGCTATAACACAATCACAAGTGAGTGAGTGAGTGAGTTTGGTTTTACGCCGCTTTTAGCAATATTCCAGCAATATTACGGCAGGGGACACCAGAAATGGGCTTCACACATAGTGCCCATGTGGGGAATCGAACCGGGGTCTTCTGCGTGACGAGTGAACGCCTTAACCACTAGGCTACCGCACCTCCCCCACAATCACAAGAGCTATACACACTATGCATACTATCATTCAACTCATGTATGAAGGTTTTCTGTTAGAAGCATTTTGAAAGACATCCTGTTTCTGAAAAAGAATATTTCAGAGGATCAATATGATCATGTTAAGTGATATCCAGGGTTTTACACAGACTTTTAAAAATGGGAGTCATGGTGACTCACAATATTTATTTTGGGGAGACATTTTCAATATTTGGGAGTCATGAAAATTTTAATATTTCTTTGTGTTAATCATTCTTACAATGAGGGCCACCCATAAAACTTGCGTCAAGCTTGACTCGTAAGATAATATTTTGAGAGTCGTTTACAAAATTGTTGCGTCAAATACGCAGGAATCACGCGTCATGTAAAACCCTGGATATCATTATCATTGTGTGCCAGAAACTTAAACTTGATGGCAGAGTGAAAGCTGGCAGGAGCTCCCATGGATCTCAGGGAAGGTATCAAAGAGGTATCCTATCATAGCATCTGACTTTGATCAGAAAGTTCAACAGCTCTCAAAGCTTCAATGAGAAGGCTGACATCTCTAGTACCTCAAATGCATCTCGGGTGCGAGTCATCTCCTCCAAGTGGGACATGGTTGACTTGTGGGTGTCCAAGGCAACTGTTGTTTCCTGCAGACGGGAAAGCTCAGCCTCCAACTCTGTGATGCGTTTGTCAGACACCACAGACATAGACTCCCCAACCGCAGGGGCTGAAATACACCAACATTACACTGCTTGAGTCATGTAACTCCTTAAATGACCATTCCCACTTCAATTTTCACATCACGGCTTCTGACACAAACCATGACTGGCTGAGGTACTTTACTGTCTCAATTTACAAGTAATGTTACTTGGAAGAGTGAAAAAAAAATGGGAATAGTTATGGTGCCCTAAGCAGACAAAGCTTTTGTCATTTACTCCATCATGTTTACATTAACACATACTGGACATACATTTAAAGATAGTGTAGGACTGATGATCTCCCTCCCTCTCACCTGTGAGAACATCCTCGAGGTCTTCCTTCTGACGGGAGATGATCTCGCGAGCCTGGTCAAGCTGGTGTTGCAGGGACTCCTGTTCTAAAGCCACCTTCTTCCTCTCTTCTTCTCTCTGAAGCAGCTGTTTCTCCAACTCGTCGACATGCAGCGTCAGACGGTGGTTCCGGATCCGGTAGTCCTCGTTCCCAGCCTGTATGGACTCCATCGTGCGCAGCTGCATGTACCATACACAGAATGTGCTCATTACTTCAAGTAACTTCCGTCATTCTCATAAGTATGATGAGTGAGTAGGGGTTTCTGCCACTTTTACTAGTTTTAGCAATATTTAGGCAACATGATGACAGGGGACACCAGAAATGGGCACACATTGCACCTTAGTTGGGTGAGCGAACAGTTTAACCACAAGGCGAACCACCATCCCTGCTGTCATAAGTATGAAATAAATAGTTGCATGTTTACCAATTGTTAAATAACAGAAGAGAATAAACAGTTGTGTATCTGAAGTTCCTTACATCATTCTTGTTCTTGCTGTTTTCTTCCATGAGTGACTTGATTTCCTTTTCCTGGTAGGCACACTGAGATCTGAGGTCAGACATCTGCTCAAGCTTGGACTTGTACCTGGCATAAACAGTTCAGGGGTTTAGAGCAATTTTTTTTCGCAACAAATAATTTCAGAATAAATAAGCAAAATTTGCAACAAACTATTTCTGATAAAGAATAAATAAGCAAAATTTGTTGTACAATTGTGTCCACACAATGTGTTCCTCTGATAAATTCACCTACCTGTCCATCTCTTTTTGCATCAGGTCGTTCTCAGCCCTCAGTGTGTCCAACTCGTCCAGGTGGTCACGCAGTTTCCTCATCTCTTGCAACTGTTTCTGGAGATCACGGATCTTGCTTTCTGAAACAACACAATTCCACAAATATAAATAACGGACTACACAAGATTTTTCAGATAATTGAAATTCTTCAAAATTAAGGGAAAGCTTTAGAATTTAGTGATCCCCCAAATCGGTCTTCTAACAATAGTAACATAGGGGTTGTAACAAGAAATGAATGATTTTTAAACTGATCTGCAGATACTGCATACCAAAGGAAATGTTGGCTTGTATTGGCATTACACATTTTGACATATAGTGAGTAAATTGTGACCCCTTTGCTTACCTCTGTTGTCAATGTCCATGGACTTCTCCTTGAGATCCAGCTCAAGTTCCTGGCGAAGATGGGCTTCATTTTTCAGTGCCACTTCCAGCCTCTTCATCTCCTGCTCCTTTTGCCGCAGCATCACCTACAACAAGCAAATCTCCAACATCAGATACAGAAAGCATCACCTTCAACAGACTACCTACCTGAGCCCTCTCATGCAGAAACATCCAACTTGTTTGAACACATTACAAATAACAATTGTTTGGGTTATTTTATTAAAATACATTATTTGTCCAGCTGCTCTAGATGTAAGCTTCTATTGACAATATCTGTCCAAAAGCTTTGTCTTTGGCAGTGTTAGAATGTACAGTAGGCTGACATAATCTCACACAATCATACAACAGACTGCATTCCACAAACAAGCAGGGGTTTGGAGAAGCTGCATACATCAATGTTTGTAGCCGATCTACATGTACTGATAATTGCAGTGAGATGAAGCAGAGATGAGAGATGTTCAGTAACTTATGAAATAACCATGATTACAGCTCACCTAACACATCCATGATTGTAAACCAAAAGTCACTGTGTTCTTTAATCTGATTGGTTGAAAAACATGATGTATTTGTAAGACTATTCGCTGCGTATTCATACATACAAATAACGCACACAGTTGTATTGTTGCGTAGTCAGCAGTAGTGATGTCATTCAAGACATATTGTAAACCAAAAGTCACTGTGTTCTTTAATCTGATTGGTTGAAAAACGTGATCAAATGGTATTTGATTCCCGGAAATTCTATGCGTATTAATACATACAAACATCGCTCACACCATTGCATTGTTACGTCGTCAGCTGTGATGACGTCATTGAAATCATATTGTGACGTAAAGTCGGAATGACGTCACAAATGAGCAGTTCCAGAGTGAGTGAGTGAGTGAGTGAGTTGAGTTTTACGCCGCACTCAGCAATATTCCAGCTATATGGCGGCGGTCTGTAAATAATCGAGTCTGGACCAGACAATCCAGTGATCAACAGCATGAGCATCGATCTGCACAATTGGGAACCGATGACATGTGTCAACCAAGTCAGCGAAACTGACCACCCGATCCCGTTAGTCGCCTCTTACGACAAGATAGTCGCCTTTTTATGGCAAGCACATGGGTTGCTGAAGACCTATTCTACCCCGGATCTTCACGGGTCGAGCAGTTCCAGATGCTACCATGAGAGACAGCCGAAACGGCCGGTTGATGACATTTCACTGCTGTACCCGTACACGATGTCAATGAGTGCAGACACAAAACGTGTGTGGACCTTTTGGTTTACTTTTGTGTTTACAATGTCATTAAACATCATGTGTTGGCCAATTTCCGGGTGTTATTGAGTATTTGAAGCACGGGAATTAATTTGGAACCGACGGCTTAATTGTGACGTAAAGTTGGAATGACGTTACAAATGAGAAGTTCCAGATGCTACCATGGGAAACAGCGTGAAACAGCCAGCTGATGACACCTTACTACTATACCCGTACTCGATGTCAATGAATGCAGACTGAACGTGTGTGGACCTTTTGGTTTGCATGTGTGTTTACAATGTCATTTTACATCATGTGTTGGGCAATTTCCGGGTGTTATTGAGTATTTGAAGCACGGGAATATTTAATATGAAATATTCCCGTCCTTCAAATACTCAATAACACCCGGAAATTGCCCAACACTTGTATCTCCTAAATGTTTCCGACACACATACTGCACCATCAGTAACACCTAATGCTGAGTATGTTCAAATATTCAGCAAACTTCTGTTGGAGTTTGTTTCAGCTGCTTAGTTTGCAGCTTTCTATCCAAACTATGACAGGGTGTGATAGGAATAAAAACACAATTCTCAAAAGAATTTTCAATAACTTTTCCCCTCCATATATTGTTAGGAGTCAAATTGGAAACAATACATGAATTCAGGAGGTTATTACCATTCTTAAATAATAACCTAATTTTGTTTTGTTATTTCATTATTGAAATACATTGACATACCAGGCCCTAAGCAAACTAAATATATCTTTCAAAACTATATTCCATATCTCTTCAGTTCTGTAACTGAATCTGTAAATCAATAAATTAGAAGAAATGACTTAGTTATTTTGTGAGTGGTTAGCTTTCTGTGAACAATGAAGTTGTGCAATGTGATTATAAACATGTTGAACAATGTTAGATCAATGTGGTTACATCGGATTATACAGGCATGACAGGGACATATGTATATCAAACAAGACAGCGCATTAGGATGGGTGAGTTGATGAACGAATCAAAGAATGAGAGGATGCATGGATGGATTGACAAAGAAACAGATGGACAGGGGGTTGTAACGGAGCTATTGTAGGGATGCATACAGGGGTCACCAAGTTACCTCGAGCTTACTTCTCTGATCCTTCTCCCTCTGTAGAATCTAGAAACAAGTGTAAGTAGTGGACACCTACTGTAGTACAGGTCAAGCTGTTATACCAGGTATAACACAGGTCAAGCAGATACACAGAAATGTAACCCCTTACCAATATACCATATAGACCACAGGAAACGACTGACGAGGAACCTTGCTTAAGTTAATCAGTGGCCAAAGATGTTTGGAAGTGTATTCAAAAATCAGGATGAGTTTGTTGCCAGAATATAAATGAATTTGTTGACAGGATATGAATGAACTCAATTAATGCTGCAGGTGCAATGATGACATATTTTATTGTGGTAATGTGCATCTTGATAGCAACATGAAGGATGGACTCTATTGGTCATATCTCATTGGTCTTCAGGTCATTATGCACTGGTAGCTTGTCATGTAAGTAGAACACAGGGGGAAATAACATATGATTTTCATAGCTACACTTTTGGTTGTGTCTATTCCTCAACATGGTGACACATGACAACCATACCCTGTACATCAACTTATGTTGGCTTGGGAACTCGTGTTCATACCATAAAAGAATAGATTTCTTATTTCATTACAAATCTACTTCTCATGATTTGCATTGATTCGAGTTGATTCACAACTTCAGAGTTTTGCACTCATATTGTGGCATAGCCTCTGTCGACGCTGATTAGTGAATGGCTGGCATTGGCTGCAGCCCCAGATGTTTTCCACCCAGGTTTACAACACCAGGTGTACTCTCTGAGTAGTAAACCCATGTAATTGTCAACTGCAGAATGTACACCACACAACAAGGAAGCAGTGAGTCTATCACAGCTACTAGAGAAGGCTAACAACATCAACAGCTCTACAATGGCTTGCATAAAACAAATGCATTATCACTAGTCAACAATACATTGCAAATTGTCACAAAAATATTTTTCTCTAATTGAGATGGTGTTGAGCTTAATGATGGATGCATCAATTAACTCACTTATGAAAAGATGTGTTTGGAATTGTTACACATTTTGGATAAGTTGTAACACAAGTACAATGTTGACCTTTGAAAATGTTCACTTTGTTTTGTGCAAGCCACTGTTGCCTCATAAATTAATTTCATTTACCTTGAATGACATCTACAAAAGAGACAAAAGTGAAGCTTATAAAAAAGTCAATGTCTACAAAAAATAAGGAACAAGTGTCTTCCTGCAAAGAGTATGAATACTGAGATCTTATTTGATAGACACCTACCTTGTGTGTGAGGTGGGGGGACTGCATGAACTCCCCGATGGGGGAGCTAGCCAGGGTCAGCATACGCAGTGGGGATGATATGTCACGCACTGAACAGACGCTGGTGTTAGCAATACGTGACAACTGTGGACTTTGTTTCAAGTCTCCCACTGAAACAAGTATAGAAATACTTTCACTTTATAGAAAAATCTTTCATGGAAAAATTGTACTCAAGCACTTAAAAAAGCATAAACAGAAAAGCAAGCATCACATAGATATTGGAGAAAATCCTTCAGTGTTGCTGATTAGTAATTCCACCAAGACTTGTGATAATTCCACCAAGACTTGTGAACATTATCACTCTACTGCTTTTCAAGTATGAATATTTCTGTTAAAAACATTTAGGCATAGTCTTGTTTTTATCAATTGTTCTTCATTAATCCAATTCAAACATTCAATCTGCCTTATTACATGAACACTGACACAAGGTCTTACAGGAGACTGTTGATTAACTTTAAAGCAACATGCAGACATTTTGAAAATCCCCAACCAAGAACCATATGAACATGACTTGAATTATTTGCAGTAAATGTATAAACTTTCAACAAGAAAGAAACACAAGAACTGTTAAACAAGCAGGGCAAGGCTTTTGTTGGAGAAAGTTGTCAAAAAAAACATTTGTGACTTAGAAGAATCATATTAAGCAAGTCGAGTTTTAAAGAACTGCAAAGCAAAAGTATTTTACAACACACACGAACAAGGAACGTTATACTTGCTGTGTGCACTTGAAGTGCAGGCAAAGCATAAGACAGGGTAAGTGCCAAGGACACAAACGTGTTGGGGAGAACACACAGTTGTAATTGGTAACCATGGTAACCTACTTGCACTAAAGCTACCACTGTAGTTGAAAGACTGGTCAACCACGGGCGTAGTCGGGAAGCCCTGTGCCACTAGTCGAAAGAAAAGAGTAGCATCGCGATGAGCGTGACTGTTGTCTACGAAGCGAAAATAAAGAAACAAGTGTCACAACCTCTCGCACTGTACACACAGCGAGTCAAGGCAAGTCACATGCAGATTTGGATTTGGAAACACATGCTTTTAGATCGATGTTTTCACTTGTGATTTAATATCACAAAATGTCCAAAAATTACTTGTCGCCTTAAACGGGTTACTTATCGCCTAAAACAGGTTAAACAGGCTAAATAAAAATGTATTAAAGGTGTGTCTAACATGTCAAATGCAGAATAGGGAAGAATCCCATTAACAAGGCTTGATATATAGCCCAAGATATACAAATGCAATGTATGTCATTGTTTTGTTATTTGCATGACTGACAAATGACAAAGAAATCACCATATTTTGACAGAAGCCAAATATTTTACCAAGAAATGACAACCCCTTTCTCCCTTAAAAACATCCTTCATAAAAATTTAAGCCAAGATAATTTCTTTCTGAGAGGCTTTCCAATGAATATTTACGACTTCAAACACCAAAATCTGCATGTCACTTTACAACACTTACATAAGATATTCCCTACATGAGGGACATAATCACTGTACCTAAGGTGATGCTGGTAACGTGCTTCACCAGCATCACAACATGGCGGCAGACAAGATCGCTCGGCGATTATTCCCTTGAATTAGCAGTCTTCCACGTGTATACAGTCAACACTATTTAGCACACTGATAAACTTTGATGGTGCGAATACATTGAATGCACTGAATTTGATTATTTATATCTATGTGTTGAAGAATAAGCATTTTTAAAATCGCGAGAGGATGTCGGTAACTCAAAGTCTGGATGTCGGTAACGTGCAATGAATGATGCTGGTAAAACATACTGTCCTGTTTTAGTCGGTAAACAGAAATACAAAGGAGATACTATAGTGCTGTCGGAAATAGAAACAAAACTGTTTTTTAGGCTGTTACTCTGTATCCCTAAAATTTACACAATTGCAAATAGCATATGTCGAAATAACCCACTTCGGCCTAACTGGGCGTTCAGTGGGATGCGTAATACGATATCCAGAAAAGCACGTTTTCTCGTAAAATCGGGCAAAACTTAGAAAAAAAAACGAATAGCTGCTGGAAACAATAGATCAGACTATAGATGGCAATAAGGTCGCTCAGCCAGGTGTGACGACGGACCGTCAACTCACCGGGCATGAAATGCACGTGCTGCCTACAGGCACAAGGGGCCATCTCAAAGATATTTTGTGCTTTTTCATGTGTGTTGACTATGTCTCATCCATTGATTAACATCTAACGTGTCTTTCTTTCATATAGTTTCATATAGTTTATGTTGAGATATGTAAAAGAGTATGACACCCGAAAACCATAGAAACGCATCGTAGTATATAGGTGGCATGACCACCCGAAGATAGACAGGACTGGATATTATTTGTAAATTGTTATGACGTGCCGTGTACCTCCCCTGCCCTCTAAAGGATTATCTTATCTTAGCTGATATCTCTATCCCCAAGCCCGACCCCATGTTTTGCTTTGAGACAACCCTCCTATCTGTTTCTTTTATAGTGACAGTGAGACTGCATGGTAGCTACGTCCTTAATAGTTTCGCATAAAAGTTATCATTTTTTACGTCAGCTATCGTTCATAATGAATCTACGTCTAATTTCAAATTGGGCATTTAAAAAGTGTCCTTTGTAATACAATATCGTCGCACACTAATTTGCATAAAACCATGGCCTGTTCCAAATAAGTCTTTTTGGACGAAAAAAACCCATTGCTCATTTCTGCACTAATTTCCCCTCAGTAAAGTCCCTTTTCTCCATTTCCTATCTCTCTACCACTGAGACTGTAGTTAGGCTGAACTTAGATTAACAGATATTTCACACTTTCACATATCAACTACATAAATTGTAGAGATAAATGAGAAAATACAGTTTTTTTCTATTTCCGACAGTACTTTAATATCAGTTCTTATGTTTTACACAGATGTGTACTGCTGCTACATTAACAGTATGAGCAACTATTTCTGTGCACCGAGAGTTGTTGCTTGCCTTGAAGCAGGGTGTGTTTAATCACACTATTTATGTGGCGTTTCATTGAACTTGAACGGATTTAGATGTGTGTGCCCATTGTTCATTACAATGAGAGCTTTTTCTCTGTCATCCTAACTTTAGGCACTGCATATTTTCCCAGTATTTTTTTTTGTTATTCGTTTCACTGTAAAAGTGTTCACATGTACCTTCATGTTTCTCCGTGACCTCAAGAACCTATTATTAATATCAGGGTGACAGCCTATTCAAAAAGTTACCTATTTATTTAGTTACCCCCGATATTTTCATATTGCCATGAAACTGAGCAACCATTACCATTAGTATGTATACTGGAAAGCTTAAACTCCATTGTTTCCTGAAAGTTTACATTTTGGACTAAACAATAACAACAAATCATGAAAATTTGCAATATGTTAATTTACAAAATGATATGAAAACATCAACGATGTTTTGTCAACAAAATGTATCCCTGTACAACTATGGGGCTGCAGAGTTCCAAGATGGGAGAGGTGAGAGTCTCTCAGTCTGAAAATGTTCTCTGTTATCTTCAGACAACAAATCACATGAAAAATGTTTAATAGCGTGCATATCCACCTTGTGCACGGATGACTGCTTTGACCTTCCTCCTTATGCTTGTCGCAAGTCACCGGATTCGCTCTAGAGGCAGCTGCTGCTACTCCTGGTGCAAAGTTGCCTCCAAACATGCCAAATCTTGTACAGGCGGATCCAGTGCTTGCACTCGGCATCCAAGAATGATCCAGACAGGCTCCAATGGGTTCAGATCCGGGCTCATAGCAGGCCATGGAAGTTTGGTTACAGTGTTGTTGGAGAAAAATTGTCACGAGTCGGGAACGATGTGGTCGGGCGTTGTCATCCATAAATACAGACCGAGTGGCTATTGGGTGGTTATCAAAACGTGGCACAAGAACAGGATCCAGAATGAGATTCTTGAGAGGCATTTAGAAGTTGGTGAATATATAAGACAAGTATATGGATGGCAACTTCTTGCTTATTGTATAACAATGTTTCTGGGCTACTTCTTCCCCTTGTTCAGGTGATTAAAGACATTTATCCAGCCTCCTGTAAGAATGTCGAGTTTTGATTGGTTCACTTGACTCTGATAAAATACCATGTACACCCGTCACGATCCACGAGCAGGGAGTACTAAAGTCATATTATCCCGCCACACCTCAGTGACCACGTGAGAAAAGCGTGCATCGCCAAGCCTTTGGTAACGTGCGCTGCATTGAGGTCAATCGATCAGCTGGTGTCAACATGGCAGCAAGGAAACGTTTTGACACAACAACTGAGAATGAAATTGATGTGTATTGTTTTCTTTTGATTTAGTAAAAACATTCGGCTAGATAAATGCGTTATCACATCGTGTCTCGGGAAATACGGGGTTTTATCAGTCCCTCGTAAGGTTGTATTCCCCTCGCCAGACTTATAATGTAGAAAGCAAACTATATATACCAGATTTACTGGAAGCCAGATATGTACATGTATATACAATCAATCACAGAGGACCCATCAAGAGCAGTTATAAGAACAATTAAAATTGGGATATGGTAAAGACAGTTGACACAAATAAGGAACAGATGTTCTTAGGCTCACAGGCACTGTTCTTGGTCCCCTAGACTCACTGACGCCCGTCTGTGACGTGCAATAAAAAATGACTCATATCCGACCAATGCACCTTCCTCCCTGACGTCAAATTCTAATGACATCTGATTTAAACACCACTCCAAGTGAGCTCTCTTGTGAAGATTGGTCAAGGCTGGACGCTTGGTCACCCTTCTTGCCCCTCATCCCATGTGCCTTTATACTGTTTCTTACATTCCTATTGTCTGTTGGGGAGCCATAGGTGCTTCAGGACGCCACTGGTAGCGAAAGGCTGACGTCTCGCATCCCGATCCTTAACTTTATTTCCAATTTGTATTTCAGTACACCAGGGTTACATGTTTGTACAGTTAGGGTTGTTAGTGTGGATTCTGTTACGGTTTCTTTAAGTGTAATTGGCTCTTCAAGTATATCGAATAAATCTTCTTTCATTTCCGGAGTATCTGTTGTTTATAGTATGTTTTCAGCTATCTCATGGTCAGTTTCAGTTTGCTCAGCATATAATGTCTCATAAAAAAGTTTTAATTCATTTCTTATTTCTTTTCTATCAGTTATTATACAGTTATTACTATCTATCTATCCTTAACTCTCTTCTTTGGGGGTTGACCTGGCCTTGGTCAGTCCATAACCTTGTTGGTTTGATGGTGTTTTCGACTTATGACAGTGTGGTGAATGTCAAGCTGTCGCCCAATAGCCCTGTATAGTGCATGAGAATGTTGTGATGCTGGTAAAGACCTTAGGTACAGTGATAACACATACTACTCTCCTAGATACAACACTAACTCGCAAAGAACATGCACAAACAGACAAAAATGTCATGCACTGAAACCAAGGAAAAATTTGCTAATCAAAACTAATCAGAAACAGGTCCCACAGCTTTAGAACTAATCATGCTGATACTACCTATGTCAAAGAGATACTGCAGGAGTCCACATAAACATTAACCACTGTGTCAATCTGGATTCTCATTACCCACCCTAAAGTAGCTTCAGGAGCTATCAGTTAACACTAATGGTTGCATCCTCAAGAAACATGCAATTTACATCTGACAAATTCCTGGGACAACAGCAAATTATGAAATATCAAAAATGTTATTTCATTTTCATTCTGATTTTAGTTTTCTAATGTTGGTCACAGTTTCAATAACCAATTTAAACAAATGAAACCCCTTAGAACATTGCTGACTATATCAAAGCAGTGCATAAATGAATAAAGAAAGGTAATCCTGAAGTCTGTCCTACCATCACCATTCTCTTCCCACAGAGGTTACTTGTCATATCTTCCTACGAACCTCTGTTCTAATACGGCCATATTTCCTGGTTCTCGTAAAATCCCCTAGCGGCAAAAGATCGCAACACGAATTATCTCCCTTCTTTCTATCCAATCAGAACACGTGTTACATCGACTTAGATTCAACTTGACTAACACAAGCAAATGCGGGGCCACAAATATCCCCCATCTGCTGGGGAATTGTGTTGATGTTACACACAAGACATTTAATGGCTAGCTTGTCCGTTGTCAACGAGGGCGATGGAGACGCCACTGATCCGCCATAACATGACTGAGTTCTGTCTAGAAAAACATTTGCGCGCGCGGGGAAGAAATTTAGTTTTTCTCGAAGCATATGGAAATTACCGAGGCCTTGCGAATGATCACTTTTGAAACAACGTCGCTGATTGCACAACTAAATCTGATTGCCTCCAATCACAAGTCTTGAACGCTCACACCATGAAAGGGCCGTATTATAACAGAGGTTACGTAGGAAGATATGACAGGAGTAACCTCTGTGGGAAGAGAATGTACCATCACCGGACAGTCTAAATAAAACTGACAAGCATGAACAGATAAAGCTTGTGTTGTTGGTGGGTAAACATAGGATACATTGACTACAGAGTATAGGGAGACAGGGACGAGGATGTAGTTACCTGTTGTCCGAGTGAGGATGTCAACAAAGTCCGGGGGCAGGATACTCTCCGAGCTGGCTGACGACAGCATGGATTCTAGAACCTCCTTGATGTTCAGCTGAATAAACTCACTGAGATTCATGGCAGGCACCACAAACAGTTGACAGTTGGCATCCTGCACTGCCATCCCAAACACGGCCAGTAGAACCTAGATCCAGAACAGGATTAAACAGAGTAGTGAGTTGGATTTCACAGAAGTACCAACGTGGGAATTAAACCTGGGACTTTAGTGTGATAAGGCTACAAGTTCACCACTTGGCTATTCAACCTACTGCACATAAAATGACTGAGTGGTACCATAATCATGAATACCGATCTGATAATATTACTGAAACTAACTAAAAAAATCTAATCTAATAACAGATTGTTAATGCATTCAGAAAAGCACATCAGATTCACTAAACTGTATATTCACAGTAACTTGCCTCTTAGTCCAAATAGCAACATCCAGGCAATGCTAGATGGAATAGTTGTCTATCCCAAAGTTTACTTTTTTTCACACAATCACCAGTCCAAAATGATTTGGGTACTAGCTGAATATGAACTTATTACAGATATCCAGTGTGTTGGGTTATATCTTTCTTTAACATTTCAAATCCTTGATCATTAATTGAAAACAGCTCATATAGGCTGAGGATTCAGATACTTGCAACCACAAAACCATTGGTACACAAAAATACAACAGGCTACATACCTTTGCCAGTTCAAATTCAATGTGTTCATCTTCCTTGTCACCAGATGACAAAATCAGATCAAAATCAATCAGTTTCGATTCCACAAAGTTTACTTTGAAAACACCTGTAAGAAATGGTCATATCATTGTTATAATTTTATAAACTCCACTGAATACATGTACACAGCACAAAATATGTACAAAAACCATAGGAAACATGCATATATTGCTTGCTTCAACATGAATTCAATGAAAAAATATTTTCAACTTGGCCAGTGATAACTTGATTGTGACAAGGGAAAACATTTTGACCAATGTAGCACTTGTTTTCACAATTCTTGAAAAAAGTTTGAAAATATTACAGACAGTAACTTATGACATTAGCCCTTAATAGTTTCTTCAGAAAGACTTCCCCCCGTATTCCCCCCTTAAATTTCATATCACCTAAATATATATTCCTCATCTGATAAGGGTGACTTTTAACATGTTTCTTTAATTGTATCTGAACTAATGAAAGACATAACCAACTTCAAAAAATGCCACTCAAAGGAATTGTTCCTCATATTTAAAATTTAAGGGGAATACAGGTGAAGTCTTACTGTTTCTTCAACCAAGCAAACAGGTTAACAATATCACCAACATTTCCGCAGACTGGAACACCTATACACACACATACATTACTTACCTTCTAAAACCTCACGGATGAAGTCTAGTCGCTGTTTTACTTCAGTTATTTCTTCCTTACACTCAAACTGTTCCCTGTGCAAGTAGATACATATGAACCATGTAAACAATACAGATTTATGTGATAGCATGTGGGTTTAGATTTAGAATAGAAATATTATTGTTAGCATCCAATCTATTAGCTATCAACTATCAAGAATTCCAATTTATTTCAATTGCTCTGGTTATTAATACTGAACTAAATGCTTCTAAGTGATGTCATAGAAAAATGATAACAGCACTTACAATAATTTCAGTAAATCAAAAAGTCGCTTTCCATCTCGTAGATCAAACAAAGATTTGATCTGCTTTTCTTCATCCACAGAATTAACCTGAAACAGTCAACAAAACTTCATAGAATTAACAAAACCGCTTAGATAGTTCACTCTGGGAAGATGTGCAATACAGAGCTTTTCAAGAGGCAAATACTTGGCCCCCAGTCTGCACCAAAACATGCTTGGTTGGAATTAGAAGGTTCTACTTGATGCTATGCAAGAAATGCTTGTTTCATGACTGAAGGCTTTCTATGCCAACAGGACCAATAAAGTGGAAGAGGATTTTATGATTAGTTTTATGTTGCCTGCATTCAATGTAATGTTAAATTAAAATACACCTGAAATGATTTAAAATCCCACTTTGTTTCTCCCAACAAGTATGAAACTACTACACCTTGTACGAGACTGGGTGTTGTTTTCAACATTGATGATTGAACAGTCTTCAGACATACTTACCCACTCAATGAGTGTTGTTCTCTTTGCTGGATCCATTGCTGCATCTACAGTCTAAACTGAAAAATGTATGTATGTTAGTTGCATTGGTTTTAATCTTGGGTACGAAACCCCTACATCCCTGGGACAATGTGATTGACCTAGTCCGTTAGTTATTTGCAAAGACCAAAAAGCAAAGGGGGTGGTGTTATTTACAGTATACAGTTACACACCTATAAGATGCACAGCACTGCCACAAACGTTTCACTTCATTAGGACGCTATCTGGCAATGGTTACACCTATAAGATGCACAGCTATAGCACTGCCAAAAAAGTTACTTCCAAAATTTACTGAAAAAATCTGTACAAAATCTACAATTATGCATGCACGGCTCCGTGAGTGTTGTGTAGATTCTAGATGAATTACCATCATTAGAAGGTGCACAAGTACCATATATCACCGAATCATTAACGATTTGACCAATCCGTTCAAATAAAATCGCACATTACTAATGTGTGTTCAAGTGATCCTAACATAGATGCCGTGGTTGAACAGGTTCTTTCAAATGTGTTGAATCCTAAATAGTGGTAGATCAAATATATGATCTTAATATTTCATATCGAACAGTCATACAAGACCAATAGATCTGAGAAGAGGTTTGGCTTCACATTAAGCACGCAAAAATCCAGGTGACCTAGATTGCAATCAAAACAGACACTGAAACCGACATCACTTGTCCAGCGAAGAATCACGAAATCACACACGTATTCAAACGGCTGTCCACACATATATCCGGACAAAACATTGTAGATAAACGTGCAATTCATAAATTGTAGTTTATATTTCATATGGTTAGTTCCTTACCTTAAACTAGCCTCATATTGTTTATCATCGTCAATGTTTATGGAAATTATCACGTCTTCCTATGAGGACAGCGACTGACTTCTTTCCTTTGTAACTTCAAATTCAGCGGCTTCAATTTCGGCGAATCCCGTGATAGGACCGGATATCACCGAGGCCGGCTCGCGGGAGGCTTCTCATCAGTCGAGTGAACACGAGTGTCGCTCGGCTGTTCCCGGTGGTAAAAGTCGCCAATTTCGAATTGTTTTGATCACAAGTACTACTTTACTTACGACTGCATTCTTTTAACAGAAGTGTTAATGAACATCAGTTGATTGATGAAAACAAAATGTTAAAAAAACAACTATTCTTTGTTCAAAAATCAGAATCTACAGGATTTCAAAGTTGATGGAAAACGCTGAAAAACAGAAATATATAAAAATATGTTTGATTGTCAGATGGTAATGTCACGGTTCAATATAGACGAATGTAAGGGACCGTTCATGATTTATGCCTACAGGGTGATGATGATTCTGATGGAGAAGCATGTACAATGTGAATGACCTCCCTAAAAAAATTATGTACAAGGTAAGTGCGCTCCCCCTCCCTCCCATGTCATGTAAAAATGAACATACGCACACACATGTAGCAGGGCGTGTTGTCATCCCACAGATGACATCCTTACCTTGTCAGCTTGCTGACAGGGTTAACCTCTTTGAACAAGGCGTCCGACTTCGGATTAGAAGGTCCGTTGTTAGAATCCCAGCACGGGACTCGGAAATTTTATGGCCGCTACACACACCCTTTCCCATATTTGTTAAGCATTATTATGTACATAATTGCTGACCCCCCCTAGAGTATGTGTACAAAATTGATCACCCCCTACCTCCCAGAACCACGCGCACACACACAGAACCAGACACACACACACACACCCCGACACCCCCAAAAGCCATAAATTATGAATGGTCCCTAAACATTCTGCTGTCGGCATTTATTAACAGAAATTTAAATAAGTAGAGTTCATTAAAATGAGGTTTGTGCACTGGTTCCAACTTCTCTTTAAACTTCAACGGTACTAATGTTTCTGTACAAACTGATCTAACCTATTATTATAATAATAATAATGATAATAATAGGCCATTTATATAGCGCCTAACCTATTCTTTCCCATTCAAGGGTTTACTTTCCCACATATTCCAGTTCAAACACAGTGATAAACGGGAAAATGTTCGAACCATGAGCACTCCATCATTGTACTTCAATGTATCCGTATCCTCAGATCAGTTCGGTGCATATACTTGGTCATGTTAATAAACATTCCAGAGAAATTCCTATTAATAATACACGTGACACATTTTAACCGTAATCTATTTTGTGTGTTACAAAGCCACAAGAAACAGCTGTAAAATTGAACCAAGTCCTGATGCCATCCATCGTTGATCATATCTGATAACGTCCATGTTAGTTATATAAACGTTTTGTTCATTTCTGCTACGGGCCGATCTTGTCGACCACGCAAGTCCACGATATGTATATTTGGTTATGTTGTTTTAACCGACGACAAATGAAAAATTGTTTTTCACAAATACATTCTCAGGTACGAAATATAGATTCGAACCGTTGAAATACATTAAGAGAAATATATAATAATATTGCAACTGGTGCTAAGTCAGTGTTGTTGGAAAAGATTGATACAGACGAAGTAGGGTCGAAAAATGTTAGATTTGGGTTTATAGTCACAACGAATTTTTTCACCACATTAGAAATCTTAACAACTAAACCCACCCGGCAAGAAATATAAACCCAAAACAACACGCGGTTGAGTTACCTCTGAACTCTTCAATGCCTAAATGTCCAAGTCTAATAGGTCTTTAGAAACTAACACCAACTATACTTCATGTCTGTTCTTTTTCGTGTGGTCTTTGAACATTTTGTTTGTGGTCATTTAATTGGACCTTTAATTTGGACCATTCTGACTCATTTTGACATTTTGTTGTGTGGCAGTTATTATTTTGGTGTCTTTGGACATTTTAAGTAAGTATATCTGGTTATTTGAGTGTCTATAACCATTCTGACGTGTTCGCCGTTTGATTTTCTGCCAATGCAGTTGGTATCCATGAAACAGACGTTTGTATATCGGATCTGACACATGACTTTGCCGTCGTTTAGTATGTACATGATTTTAGTACAGTGTGCTCAACATCATGATTGCCGCAATAAAATATTATTTACCTTATATTTACAAATACAACGTATTTTGGGGTATTTTTCCAATTTAATTTATTTTCAGCCATTTTACAATATTGCACAGATTCCACATAGTTTCTTGACAGTAGGGGTATATAAATTCAAGGTTTGGTAGGTCAGAATCGTTTTTGTTTTAAAGAGATGTTCCATACCAGCTGGTATCGGCAATAAAGCAATTATTATTCAACCGACTGTTGCAAACTTTTCGACTTTAGTGATCAGAAATATTGCAAATATATCTGTTGATTACAGTTTTGATTACAGTTTCGGCTTTGATATGTCTATAGATAATACTAATTGTGGGTATGCAAATGTTCTCCCTGTGATATGTTATCTATTGTTTCATATATTCGTATACTTGACATGAGAGAATCAAAGTGTTGTACACATTCCCTGATGATTCGAACGGGAAATCTTTATGGTCATGTTCATCATAGGAAACTATACAAAACAGTGATCTATACCATATGTAAACCATAGTATACGCATTTTGTTATCAGCTTGTTATCGGGTTCTGGACGATGGAAGGTCGTGAAATATGTAATAAGGTGTAAAGAAATAGTATACCACTGTTTTTAAGTTAAAGCTCTCAACAGCGGAAATGCGCTCCCTACGTATTTTGAATGATTGAACAGCGCTGTAGAGGAGCATTGGCAGTGTTTCCAAAAATAACTTCAGCTTCAACTCTTTCAGCCGTTGTCCCCAGTAACCAACATGGCTGGAGGTTGAGAGTACGGTTGAAAGAGATTTAGCCCAACATATCCTGCGCCATCTCTTGAAATAACACCTCTATGTTGAAGATGTCGGGGACAAGGTACTCATGAGCCCATTTTCGGTGATTTTGGTTAAAAGCTCCTAATTTTGGTGATGACTTACGCGTATATTCATTTTCAAATTTTGAAGTTTGCCATGAGTTCACAGTCTCATTGTTCAAATCCTTTCTTGACAGGTGGTACAGGGCATGTCGTATTTGACTTTGACACCTCCTTTAAGTCGGCTATTTTTGGCCTAATGGCAAACGTATAACCGAATGCATAAATCCAAAGCCGAAGACGCCTGGTATTTCATTTTAGACACTAGAAACATTTTTTGTGTGTTTTGTTTTCAAAACTGGCTGGCTTGGGAATAGGTATTTCCTGTATGGTACCATGAAAGTAAACATGATTCCAATGTGAAAAGTTACCTCTTTTAGCCTATATAGGTGCCCCTGGTCAATTACATCTTTTGTTCAAAAAAATACATTTTATTTTTAAAAAAAATATTCAGGTCATGTTGACATATGTAAGCCCAGGGGGGAGGAAGGGGGCATCAACGGACAGGTTGCGATAACAACTTATTTGGGAACTTCTTTTATTAACCACTTTATCATTAATATCAATGTTTCAGTGGTTAGATTTTCAACATTTTTGTGATGGTCGGCAGTCATAATATTCAAGAGTTAAATTGAGGATTTTGAAAAATAGTGGATGGGGTTGCACATTATACCCACGTCAAGATTTACCTGCAACACACCCTTGGATCCTCTAGTGATGTTAATTTCTGTCAAGTAAAATTCTTAATCTCTTGACCACTCTCTCTCTCTCTCTCTATCTCGCTCTTCCTCCTCTCTCTTCCTCCTCTCCCTCTCTCTCTCTCTCTCCAACAGCTTTCTGTCACAAAACGACCCGATGATTTTTATGAAAGCATAAAAATCACCGCCTGACGTCAACCGTTTTCAGTCCATGCCATATCGGCTCATTCCACAACACACAGTAACTTGTAGATTACGGAATGGTACGAGTGTGCCAAATGGCATCGGAGCCTTTCTGCAATTGTCCGTAAATCACAAGACACCAAATCTATTGTCCATGACCTATTCAACTCTTTATGTTCATTTCCGTAACATCACAGAAATGACTAGATAAATTTGCACATTGTGTAACAGTGTGGACATAGCTTAGTCGGTTAGCTGTCGGGGTAACAATCCGAAGGTCATGGATTTGTGTCCGACGGATTCTGAAAAACTGGTTGTTTGTCTTAGTGACATGTGACCTACGTCAGAGAATGTCCTCACGAGAGGTTGTGGTGTGCTGAATTCTGAAGGTGCTCCTACATTTTTAACATTTTGTGTGTCCAGGCTAACTCATCAGTTTGCATGTATGTCATTTGTTTTCTCGCAGCGTTGTGCCGTACTCTCCTCGACAGAAGAAAGCCACCACCCTTGCAGCCATTGACACAAGTAACGACAGTGTACCTCCATTAGATTTCTCCTTCTACAAACTGGCAAGTGTACAAGGCAAGTGTCTTAATTGATTCTCAGCCAACATTGTGTTCTGTCACTCTACATTGTACTGAAAATGATGTCTAGAATCAAGTTACACACCAATTGTTACAGTTTCATGTTAATATTTTCACATTTTGCTAAACATGAACAATCGTTTTTTGTGTGGTCAATTCAGATGTTTATGATGAGGAACCCCGTGCTGTAACCTGCAAGAAGGGTGAGTCAAGTCCCCGTGTGAGTAAAGAGAACAAGTCCAAGGCGCAGTGTCTCCGCCTCAACAACAACCAGCTGTCTGACATCAAGCTGCTGTTGGAGGTGACAGAAAGCCTGTTCACCAACCCTGGGGCTCTCGGCTGGATTGACTTATCTTTCAATGATCTTACTGTTATAGATCCTGTAAGTATTGGGTGTTATACAAGGGTAGATACACCCTCTGTCTTCAGTTGCATTGTATATCTATGTCTATCAGCATAAATGTTCTGGACCCATTCAGAAATTTCTCTTCCAGTGGTAGGAGAGATGGTGATGAAGCTATGTGATGAATGCTTGAATTTTGCTTAGTATGGCTTTTAATAAATAATTTAAACCATTTTAAGATTAAAAAATACAAGCATGGAATAAGTTTGACAGTGTGGATTTTTCCAATAACAAACATTAACAAGGAATCTTTTGGATTTGTAACATATTTGAAATTATGCATGATATCCCTGCATTTGGATAATTGGGGCGAACAAAAGACATCTTAGTTGATTTTCATTTACTTCTAGGTACTAACAGAGTTTGAGAATTTAGAAATCCTGTATCTCCATGGCAACAATATAGCAAAGATCCAGGAGGTGGACAAACTGCAGAGTTTAAGAAGCTTGCGTAAACTGACTCTGCATGGCAACCCTGTCGAGGAGTTCAAGGTGAGTGAAATCTCAGCTGCACCACTTGTCAGACTGATCCAAACACCATATATGTGGTTAATCTATGCCTGACTTGCCTGAAAAACATAAATCACTTTCAGTTGTCAAAAGACAACTGTAGAATTTAATACTCCTTCATTATGTTTTGAGTAGTAGTTAAATAACTTATATACAACTTTATGGAATATATATAACTTTATATGAGTGTAAACATCAAGAGCAGAACAAATCCAGCTGACTGCAGTGTATTGTTATTCTCTTGTTTATATTTTGCTCATGCTCAAGACAAGGTCTGAAGTTGGTTGTTCAGTGTACCATATTTTAAGAGTGAGTGAGTTTAGATTTACACTGCTTTTAGCAATACTCCAGCAATATCACGGCAGGGGACACCAGAAATGGGCTTCACACATTGTGCACATGTAGGCCATATTTTAAGAAGAAATGCAGTCCACACAATCTCCTGAAAACATGTGGTGTTTGTTTGATTATGGCTGTGCAGTAATGTGGTATTTAACTCAGATAGTGTCATGTTGTATATGCTGACACAATTGCTGTCCATTTCAGGGTTACAAGCAATACATCCTGTCTCTTATGCCCTGGCTCCTGGGACTTGACTTCTTCCGCATAACCAAAGCCGACCTGAAAACTGCTGAGACCTGGAACAAAATGAGCAACAAGGGCAAGCCGAAAAAGAAGTCAGATGCTGAAGATTAAACCACATTCCCACCAGGTCTCATAACTCCAGTTTGTCTGTTCCCATGGTTACCTGTAAACAACAGGTGACTGGTTCATCGCTGTTGTCCATCCTGCTTATCAGGAGCACATGCCAAGATGACTGCAATGAATGAAGTTTACAGCGAGACTTCAGCTTCCGTCCACTCGGTGAAGGTTGTTGTTTGAACTCCAGATCATTGATGTGCTAATTTGTCATTATGGATATATTTGTTGAATGCAAAATGTATTTGTTGAATGCAGATGACCAGCAATAATGTTCATGATTAAAAGGCATTCCTCTTGTACATCAGCAAGATGATGTTAAATTGTTTAGTTTTATTATCTGATCTGTGAAATCACAGGATAATGAACAGACTGGTCAGTCAAAATGTTTTTATGAGAAATGTTTTATGTATTTGTTTTTAACCATACTTCATTATTTTAGTTTGAATTATGATTTGTTTAGTTGTCAGTTGGTCAGAAAGTTACTGCAGTTCATGATAAATTGCACAGGCACATGGTTCATCAAACAAATACATTTCAGAAAAGCTAAAAATTGTTAAAGTGTGTTGTTTAGGTCTAATGTTCAAGAAATGTGTTTAATTCAAACCAAAAATCTGACCTTGTGATAAATAATGACACTGAATAAAGAACTAGATACATTCCATAATTTAAATTCCTTTGACTCCTGCGACCTGGGTATGGTTTCATTTTTTTGGGGGGGTGAATGTTCAATTGGAATTGATTGGAGATTATTAATGTAAGCTGGTCAGTCTTCGACCTACTGGTATATGATTTCTGGAGATGATTATGCAATGGGAACAATCAGCTATGATGTGATACATGTATTTTATTTATAGAAATCCTTGTACATGTACCTTCTATTTCCTACGTGTTCCCAACTGTGTGTATCAATTACAATACTGGACCTTCCATCCCTGATCACTGTGGCACCTGTAGCCAGAAGTTAAGCATAACAGATGGCAGACAGTTTGGATGAAGAAATGAGAGAGTTGTTTGTAGCAAGTCTGCAAGCTCGACTTTTCCTGCTTATCTTTGAATATCTACCTGTGACTGTCTGAATTTACTAAATAGTCATAAAATGTCTAGCATATGGTTTTGTTGTTGTTTGTCATCAGATGATTCAAGTTGTACTAGAGTTGTACTAGAGCTTTCATCTACACGAACTACAACCAAAGGGCGCCCATATCTATAAAATCACAGATCGTCACCTAAAATCACAGATCGTTCACCATTTGCACAAGGTCACAGAAATGGTTTCACACCATGATGTACTTCTTGTCTCATTACATGCTGTTTGAGGAAACACATGCCCACCAACATAACATGAAAGTTGATTCAAATACCATGCGAGAAATATGAATACATCCCTACTGATCTGAGAAAACATAACATAAAACCTGAAATTTTTCCTCATGCTATGTTGACATGAATTTCAGTGTAATACATTGCATATCTCTGAGAAGCTTCAAATGTAAAAAGGGGCGGTGGTGTATCCTAGAGATTAAAGCGTTCGCTCTTCTCGCCGAAGACCCGGGTTCTATTCCCCACATGGGTACAATGTGTGAAGCCCATTTCTGGTGTCCCCTGCCGTGATATTGCTGGAATATTGCAAAAGGCGGCATAAAACCATATTCACTCACTCAAATGAAAAATATGTCTAAAGCAGTGAGCCTTTAATACAAAATCCCATGCCTCCAGTTAGCTTTCTGAGCGGGTTACAGGTACTTCCATTTAATGGAAAAGCATGCCAGAAATCAGGGCAACTTAAAATCAGAAATCCTTTAGCTGTATGGACTTATATTTACAACTTAACTGTGTACACTGTTTGAAGTCTGTGTCCCTGGTTGGTATGTGCCTGGAATGTTGCATAATGTGGTATAAAATTAGGCCCTCACTCGCTGTAAGGGAAACCACTTCTAATGCTCAACTTATAGATAAGGTTTCACCTTAAGCTACACTTGAGACAGGTACAAGTATGTACATTGAGAATAATGACCTAGACCCCCAATTTCACTTATGGTTACTAGTGTTTCTGTTTGTGAACACCTCTCACAAACATGTTCAAGGTAAGACATGATTACAAGGTCCTTAGAGAAGTGAGAATGGAGAATTATTTGGGGGTTTCAACAACATTACGTGACCCATCATGTTGATTGGTTGGTTTGGGGTTTTTATCACTGCAATCTTCCAGCTATAGGTTGTGGTCTGTAAATAATCGAATTTGGACCAGGCAATCCAGTGATCAATAGCATGATCATTTACCTATGCAATTGGGATATAATGACATGTGTCGATTAAGTCAGCAAGCCTGAGTACCTGATCCTATTTCAAGCAAGAATGAGTGAGTGGGGAAGATCAGCTTAATGTCTGAGGCAAGTCCTAAGTGATGTGATACTCAAAGGGCTAAAATCTCAGTCAGCTGATTCTGGCACACCTAAGGGACAGAACTCTGCACAGCAAATTACAATATAAAGGACTGGGCATCCTGTGTTCCAAACACCTGAAGGCGATAAAACAGTTGTACTTATGATTTGCCCAAAGATGTCCAAGCACTGCAAAGTTGAATATAAAAAAACAGTAGAAGCAGAGGAAATACTTTTTATTCTTGCACAGATATCTCATAGCTGTACAAATGTGAAATTGAGAGGAACTTCACTGACACTGATATGAAGGGCTTTACAGTCTACATATAGCACCTTTGCAGCTGCACTGATCATACCAGTAACCTTGTGCATGTTATGTTGTAGAAATCTGTTATTATAGTCCATGAATCTCCTTCGTACACAGGAGTGAGTTGGGTTCAACACTGCCTCAAACAGTATTCCAGCTATATCACAGCATGTCAGCTTAACGTATGAAAATACAAACTGATGCAGGTTTCTGACTTTCAAAACTTATGACAAACCCACAAGCATGAGTATGGTGCTGACAAACCTAGAATATGGGGTTCGAACCCAGAATGTGACGTGTCCATGGTTTGCAATTCTGCACAGTGAAATGTTTCACCTTAAACAAGTAAGCCCCCATGAGTAACCATCCACTACCCACTTCAGACTGACTGACTGAGTTTAGTTTTACGCCGCTTTTAGCTATATTCCAGCAATATCACGGCAGGGGACACCAGAAATGGGCTTAACATATTGTGCCCATGTGGGGAATCGAACCCGGGTCTTCGACGTGACGAGCCAATGCTTTAACCACTAGGCTACCCCACCACCCCTACCCACTTCAGATGTTAAAGATGGAGAAGGATGGAGTATGGACGCTTCTTGTGCCCTGGAATCACCACAGACGTACATAATGTGGCCCTCGTGACAAACCACAGGTGAAGATAACTGATGTTAATCTCATAATACTTGTAGGCTGTGACAAATGTCTGAACACTCAGAACAGTTTCAACCATCTTCTTCAGGAGCTCAGTTCTTATCCTGCAGATACAACTTCCACTGTCCTGAAGGAGGGACGGAACAACTCTACCCAGGCTGTATAGCCTTGTGACTAAAATCCACATTTCAATCTGAAATCAGAATTAAAATGTGATTAACTATTTTCAAGACAGAAAATTGACACTGTCAAACATTGTACAGTCATAAGAAAAATACAACTGCAATATGAGATGGCTTATCATACAGTGAGACACACACTTGTTCACTTGTCTGAGTGAACTTTCTAGACTACTTGGTCGTTGTTTTCTCCTTTACACTATCGCTTGTTTGATATGACTGACTGACTGAGTTTAGTTTTACGCCGCTTTTAGCAATATTCCAGCAATATCACGGCGGGGGACACCAGAAATGGGCTTAACACATTGTGCCCATGTGGGGAATCGAACCCGGGTCTTCGGCGTGACGAGCCAACGCTTTAACCACTAGGCTACCCCACCGCCCCCTTGTTTGATATGAGCTACAGATTAGTTGGATATGACCCCACGGTGTCCACACTTGTTAAAATAATAATAGAAATTAAGGGAATCTGGTTTGGTTTGTTGCACTCTGCTATATAGTGGTGGTCTGTAAATAATCGTGTCTGGACCAGACAATCCAGTGATCAACACCATGAGCATCAATCTTCACAATTGGGATATGTGTCAACCAAGACAGCAAGTCTGACCACCTGATCACGTTAGTCGCCTCTTACAACAAGCATGAGTTAATGAACACCAATTCTAACCCGAATCTTCATGGGTGTAAGGGACATTGAGTCTTAGGGGGTTGATGGTAAAATGTTCCATAATTTTATTCCAACTACTTACTAAACAAAGACATATAACATAATGGGCAATGACAGCGAAATCATTCAATTCTACATTTCTAGGATTGAATAGAAATTTGTATGAAAATACACATCAGTAATTTCAGAGTTATAGAAGTACATATCTACAAATCATTTGCTTTGTCACACATACATGTGCTTGCATCATCAGCTGAATCCCTGTCATCCATCATGTCGGTGTCCATGCCATCATCGTTGGTGTCACTGTCATCATCATCATCACCCTCGTCATCCTCTTCTTCGTCATCGTCATCATCTAGATGCTACAAGTGACACCTTCCATATATTATGATACATGGAAACAAAACAATCAATGCAGTATTCAACAATGAAATTAAGATATTCAAACAAACTTTATTCTGTAAAATCAATTTAATGACACTGAGTGAGTTTGGGTACACACAGCTTTCAACAATATTCCAGCAATATGACAGTCAAATCTGCTCTTCATTTTGGGCCTAGGAGTATCAAACCAGATGAGTGATCTCTTGAACTACTTGGCTAAGTCGCTGTCCGTTAGTTTGAGTACTCTCTACATGCTGTTACACTACAGCAAGCCGAGTTAAAATTTATCATCATATTGGCAGTATGTCTGCCATCTAGTGACGGGCGATTACATTAGATTATTTTCCATAATAATATTCCTTTTTGGAGGCATAGAAATCAGACAATTTGTACAAAGAGTTTGCAAGGGTTGATACGGAATGGCTGATTAGAAAGTTCACCTGACAGTGACATGACCTCTTGGAGGTCCTCAGATCTTCATGCATATGTGCAAGAAGATAACAGTTCTACACATCCTATCATAAACTGCAAAATACCCACCTCTGACGTCTTTCCTATTGGCACAATGTTGTTGTCTTTGTCAGCTATACTTTGATGCTAAAAAGTTAAAAACAGCGCATGGTAACAAGAGCGGAGTGGAGTGCGTGTGTGAAGTGAGTGAGTGAGAGAGACATCTGGTACAGATACTTTGAAATTCAGCAATAGACCATCATCAATACTTCAGTTTTGAATGCACTTGATTCCTTTCTCATCGAAGACTATATACAGCCTTTTGCAGTTTATTCACTATTTGTAACCAACAAATCAAGCCACATCCTAGTGTCAGCAAAAGGTATATATATCATGGATTTATATTAAATATTCATTATATCAACTCATTAAAAGAGATGATATATCAAACCAATATCCCAAAGTTCTGCACCCAAAAATAGCACAACACCAATTTCAGTCAAAATCAAATTTGTTGCCATGGAAAAGCAAAAAGTATTTTATTCAGATATCCAAAACTACCAAAAGGCACCAGTTCACCAACAGACATATCTTTGTGCCAAGTTTGGTGAAGAAATATTGAACGTTTGTTTATATTGTGCCATACTCTGATGAATTTGCACGGAGTGCCGGACGCACGGACGGAGTCCATTATAATTGCTTATTGATTTATTAGCTGATGCTCTACCTATGGACCACAAAAGCAATCAGTGCATTGTTAGTCAAAATATTCATTGTTACGGGCAGATGTCTTTCCGAATACACTACTCAACACAGTGAGTGAGTTTAGTTTTACGCTGCTTTCAGCAATATTGCAGCAATGTCACAGCAGGAGACACCAGAAATGAGCTTCACACATTGTACCCATGTAGTGAATCGTGCCCTAACTTAAATTTTGGACTTTTAATCCTTTTGTGAGTTCTCTAGTTATTGTTGTGTTAAGTTTTGTTTATAATTCTAGAATATTTATACATATTATTTGGGATGGAGGAGCGGGAGGAACTCTTACCGACGAGCGTACGATTTAACCACTCAGCCACCCCAGCGACCTTACTTAACAAAGTGACAGCTCAGCTACAAAATCCTTGAATCCTTTGAGCAATCGAAAACACTAATTGTCTAATGTTAATAATATTGTTATGTGATCAAGTTATGCACTCTTGGTCTGAAGTGTGTCCATAAGTACATCGAACCCACCCATGACTGGTATTCTTCTTCTAATTTTGACAGTTCATTTTCATCATCACATGGCTTATCAACAGTGAACCATAACTTGTCAACTTCTCTCGGAGCAAGAGATGGGAACAAGGGAGCAGACATTTTGTAAACTTTTCAAATTGTCAGCATCAGTTTCGAATTAATGAGAAACTCACATTGATATGTAGTATTGTTACTAACTGGGACATAATACTCTAATTAACATTTATATCAAATATTCGTGTAAAATATATTGTGTATCGGTAAGAATTTTATACGGTAAAATATCATAGCAAAGGGAGAATACCAACTTTGCATAACATTGAAATCAACTTCCGTTTCCGGTGTTGATCCACACGTGCAATGTTTTGAGATATTTGTTCGGGAACAGCCAAGATGACAGATCGAAATCGGAATAAATTACCAACCAATCTTCCACAGCTTCAGAATCTTATCAAAAGAGATTCTGAATCTTACAAAGATGAAGTAAGAATTAACAAGACTGTCATTTATCTAACTACAGAAATATAAGCTTATAAACGACCAGGTGGCTATGATAATATTTCAGGTTCTTGTTGACGAATGATTTAGCAACAACATTTGTCCACGGAGCCTTTAGAAACGTTGTCTTTGATATGATTATCAAATGTATAATGTTTTCATCATTGTTTGAAACTAAGCGTATCCCAATGCGTAGATCGATGTTCATGCTGTTGATCACTGGATTGTCTGGTCTCGATTATTTACAGACCGCCGCTTTATAGCTGGAATATTGCTGAGTGCAGCGTAGAAACTAAACTCACTCAGTCACTCATTGTTTGAAATTGCAATCCTTGGAAACATTTTGGAAAGCTTTTTTTTTATCATTCTATGCCTAAGAATAGTTGTTTTTTATAACAAAAACCTAACCCTAAACCTAAACCCTCGAAATAATCCTAATAAATAGAATACATTTCAAGTGGGGGTCATGGGTGGAATTCTTACCCAATCCTTTTGCTTAAGTACACTTATCCAGTAGTGAGTGTAATGGAGAAAATTATTCTGCCTGTCAGGTTTTTGAAAATACCTACATATTAAGCAAGCAGCTATATAAACAGTAGTCAGTAAAGCTGTATGGTGTCTGTTGCAGTATGGTTACAATGATTTGGTTCTTTGCTTGTCAAATAATTTCTTCTATACTTATATTGTTATTGTTATGTTTCAAGATTACAAGGGCCAAATCCTAAACAAACCTTCAAAGCAACCTCACTGAAGTAAAAGGTATATCAGTGTGTGAGTTTAGTTAATGTCCTTTTCAACTCTTCCAGTTTGATGTTGAGGGCAAGGGAGACATGATGCAGGCTTTAGATTTTCAGCATTTCAGATAAACTCAGGTGCATGGGAATGGCCAAAAGCTAATGACATATCTTTTGTATTTTCAGTTTCTGCAGCAGTACCGACACTATCAATCAAATCTGCAGCTGTTCCAGCTAAAACCATCAGCGTTTTCTAAAACCTTAGAAGAACTGTTGATATTTCTGGCACAGGTGGGTAACTTCTTTTAGTGGCATAGAGAAGTTGGTGTGATAAACAAGGGAGATAGTTCTATGGATATGCAAGTTCTTTATTGCAGTATTTACGACATTTTGGTGTAGATACTAACACTGTTGGCACTTGCTTGATAATGGTGTAAGCTCTAACCACTGAACCATGGAAGCTGTCTTCAGGGGTTAGACTTGGAGAATTGTTTCATTATATGTAATCCCAATTCATGATCCCATGTTCATGATGCTGGCTGAGTGAATGAATGCTTGCGATGACAATCACTGGATTATCTTTTCTTTTCCAAACTTGATTATTTGCGTTTGGCATTATCAACATTGAAGATAGGTACCCAAGTTGCCCTGAGTCAGGAATTTACAGGCTGCCATAATAGAGCTAGAATATTGCTCACAGCAGTGTGAACCAACATTCTTTTCTTATTGTGATACTGTCCATTGTAACAGCTTAATGACAGCCTGCTTTGAACTTGATTGTTCAACGATGTGCTCTCATGATTCATGAAAATAGATTAATAATTTAGAGAAATTAAATTTAAAGGAACCTTTCATATTGATTGCCATGAATAATTGAAATGAATGTATCAAGAGGTCTGAAGAAGGATTATCATGATTATTAGGATGTATCAATATTTAATCATATCTATTTGTCTGATGACACCAGGTGTCCCACTGTTACCCTGCCGACCTGTCCGAGTTTCCCCAGCAGTTGCGAGACCTCCTACACAGACATGCCACAGCACTGGACCCAACAATGAGACTGGTAATGGCAGTTCTTCTATCCATGGTTTGTTAGCAGCATTCTTGTGGGTTTCAGCCAAGCATTCTGCAGCATCATAGATCGATGCTCATGCCGTTGATGACTAGATTGTCTGGTCCAGAAATGATTATTTACAGACCTCCGCCATATCGCTGAAACATTGTTGAGTGCGGCGTTAAACAACAAACCAACCAACCACATCAGGTGAACCCTGATAGACCTTTGACTTCCCAATTTACATGAACATGATGAAGGAAGTGTAGTTCTTGGGCCAATCAGATGTCAGCTTTCTAACATGATTAGGTTTCATTAGGGTTCCACCTTGATTATTTATTTTAACAAACAACTAAGGGGTGGTGGGGTCATTACGCCGAAGACATTAAATCCCCTCATTGGCACAATGTGTGAAGCCCATTTCTAGTGTCTCTTGCTATGATATTGCTGGAATATTGCCAAAAGTGACGTAAAATTGTATTCACTCTCCAGCATACAACCAAAATATTTCTTCAAAGATACTTTGTAAAATGCCATGGTGCTTAGATACATGCTTTAGTATCAACAGCAATATATTCTTAGATACAACATATCCAAGTTAGTAATGGTGCTGAAGTTTCTTTACACATGGAACAAGCTGGTTCATTTCTTTCTCAAGAATCACTCACAATCACCTGAAGGATTGGATTAATATATCTAATGTCTCAACAAATAAGCTGCACAAATGTAGTTGTGGTGGATAGTGGTTACTTGAGACAATTGTGCCAGTTGTAATGAAAAAACGTATGTAAAACCAGACATTTAAGAGATAACATATTAAGATACCATACTTAATGGGACTATGAATATGATGTTGTCTTGAAGATGCCATGTCTTCATTTATATGACTGTGTTTGTGTCTGCAGTCAATGGTGAAGTCCCTGATCCTTTTACGAAACAAAGGCTTGATACCAGCAACCAGCATCCTGGAACTGTTTTTTGGACTGTTCCGTTGTCAAGACAAGCTACTGAGAAAAACACTCTACAAGTACATTGTCACAGACATAAAGAACGTCAACTCCAAGCGCAAGAATATGCAGCTCAATTCGGTAAGAACACAGCAACAGTATGATTGTATTTGTAAGGATGTCCCTAGGCTATTGGTTAAAACGTCCGCTCGTCACGGACTTTCTAGTGTCCGCCGCTGTAATATTGCTGGAATATTGCTAAAAGCAGTGGAAAACCAAACTCACTCGTTCACTTTAATCTGATGACTGAAGTACTGTCACTCAATGAATTTTGGTTGACAATTAAATATAGTGCAACTTTATTGTCTCAAACATATTTTGCTCTGTTTAAACAATATACTGGTAATTACAATGTTGTCATGCATATATCATTATCAACTATGGAAAGCTATATTCAGATTGCACCCAGAGCTCCAAATCTTCCTCTAGCTGTTTAAGTGATGTCTAGGGTTTCTGTATCAGGTTGTGAAGCAAATATGTCTAATAATTTTGGTATTAAATGAGATTTGTGACAGTCATTCGTAATGTTCTTTATGTTCCAGACTCTTCAGAGTTTTATGTACACGATGTTGACAGATAAAAGCCCTGTTGCAGCCAAAATGTCCTTGGTAAGATCCTCATCAGTATTAGCATTCAATAATTTTATGAGCAGGTTTTTATCCTCTACTCCTACTGTAGTGAAAGATTGGTTGTAGAAGACATAACAGTGTTGAATCTTTGACCACATGAGGCTGCTCATATCAAGCCAACGCAAAGCTATGTAGTAAGTCGTAATAATATACTTAGAAGTATCACAACAGTTTGAGGCATTTTTGCAGCCTCTTATTTATCAGCCCTGTCAAGATTGTAATGTAGCTGAGATGTGACGTTGAGCCTCTGTGTTCCAGGATGTTATGATTGATTTGTACAAGAAGAATGTGTGGAACGATGCCAAGACTGTCAACGTCATAACAACAGCATGCTTCTCCAAGCATGCCAAGGTCAGTAATCACTGGCTCAACTGTCTTAAAATGTACAGTCACTTGACAATCTAAATGGTGGGTGATTTGAGTTCAGTGCCACTTTGAATAATATTTTAGCTAAGATGTCATGCAAGCTTATGAGGGAGAAAGCTCAAAGTTGACAGAGCCACCCATTATTACATTTGCCATATAAGTATTCCTTGAGGGTCATTTTGTCAAGGTAGTAAGTTTATTTCAGGTGTGGATATGTTCCTTTACGGTAACATTAATACTAGGAAACATATGGGGTGTTGCGGTACTCTTTTCCATGTGTGTCTGTTCACTAAAGGGGCGGTGGGGTAGCCTAGTGGTTAAAGCGTCCGCTCGTCACGCCGAAGACCTGGGTTCGAATCCCCACATGGGTACAATGTGTGAAGCTCATTTCTGGTGTCACCCGCCGTGATATTGCTGGAATATTGCTAAAAGCGGCGTAAAACCAAACTCACTCACTCACTGTTCACTAAAATTAAATTTAAAAAATTGAAATTGATATGAATTTTATTCCTTTATAAATATCATGTTATTGTTCTTCCTCCTTCTTGGGCAGTTAATGGAAGACCTCGGGCTTCTGCAAATGATAATGCCCTCAAAAATAGCATTACCGTTATTATTGATAAAATACATGGAATTTGTGTTGAAAAGAAAAAGGAAACAATGAAGGAATTTGACTGTAGGTTTACTCAAAACCAACTTCTGATGGGGTTGACTGACCAAATGTAATTCGAACAATTCAAGTGACGTCACAACAGAACGTGACAATATTCGACCTTGGCCTTTGACAAGACCATGGCCTGCAGCATGTCAAACTATGTCAGACACAACGTCAGTTGTCAGTGTTCGGTTTGGTCCAACAACAACATTAATAGTGCAATTGTTAAAGGCCGGGGTTCAAACCTATACACAGATGGGGTGTGGCCTCCTGCCTTGCCAAGCTGTCTTTCAATGCAAA